AGGGGACATGGCATTACTCCCACATAGACAATAGAAGAGTTAAAGGATTTAATGTTTATTGCAATACATTATAAAATCAATATCAGCCTTCATCATTCATCAGTAAAGACAAATCTTGATCGACATGGCTATATATCATGGGGATCACTAATCACTACTAATCACTGATCGATTAATTATTATAGTTACTTTAGAAGCATCAAAACTAGAATGTGCCTTGAAAACAAATGAGTAATAATATTAGATTTTCATTAGGGCACACCGTAGGAAAATGTTTTGTAAAGAAAAGGAAAACAAGCTCTTTCTATTGGTCAAGCTTAGAGAGTCTCTTCCTGTTTCAGTCCTCCTTCCAATTGGAACCAAATTAATACGACCCTGACCACCCTCTCAGTTTCCATCTGTGGGCATCAGTGTGGCCAGCAAGAGCGTATGAAAACGATACCATAGATTTAATGGATAGCCAGAGCCAAATAATTGCAAAAACACCCCAATTCACTTGACTTACTTCTATTAAAGGTTAATCGTCACGTAACCAAAAGCTTTTTTAGCCCCAATTATTCACAGGACCAAGGTCTTAGATAGTCTGTGTTTATACCTACAGTTGTATTCCCTGTCATATGCCTTTGTAAGGCTATGAAAACAATACCTTCCTTTACCGTCTGACCAGCTACTGACAGAGGGTAGTTTTAACCTTGTCTAAAGATTACGGGCTCTATTTTAACAAACCTAACGTGATGGTAAATCTAAGCGCTAGCGGTAGTGCTCTAGGTCAGGGGGGGGGTGTCAGGAACATTATTGCTATTTTCACAGCCGGTATTGTGAGGGCAATAGCTGGCGGTGGCGCAAAAGGGCTGGGATTTGATTAATAAACAAGTCGTAGATGTGACTAGGGCTTGGCCACTCACTGGCCAATCAACTCGTTCCATGGCTTAACACTGACTGTATGTCTCAAGTTCTTCAGGTTATTGACAGTCTTTTCATTGTCATCAACCAATTCGGCTGGGGGTTCGGAATATTCTCCTCCTGGTCCATTGTGGATTGATACTACAGTTTATTAGCATAGGCTACAGTAACAAGCATAGGCTACAGTAACAAGTAATAGCAACAGTAAAAAAAAAAATATATATATATATATATATTCCAGTTTGCGCAATAGCCTGTTGAGTGTTGGCAGTCAACATTGTTGTAATTGGCTTCAACAAGCCTAGCCTATCCTACATGTCTTAACACATCGCACTTCTCCTAAAATAAATACATTTGGAAGAGCGGAGGTACTCTTTGGAGATGGGGATGGACACTTGAACAAGCTAAATGAAGTATGGATGTAGGCATAGGTGTGTATGTTTTAGGATGTGAAGTATATTTTCAATTCAAGGCACTGACAATTTCAGCACTTTTTATACAAAATACTAAGCTCCTGTCAATTGTATTGTTGCCAATGTGAGAAGCAGAAAGAAAAAAAAACGCAGTTGATATGGCATTATAGGAGGACTGCCATGCAATCTCCATAGACAAACATTGGCAGTAGAATGGCTTTACTGAAGAGCTCAGTGAGTTTCAACGTGGCACCGTCATAGGATGGCCCCTTTCCAACAAGTCATTGCTAGAGATTCCCCGGTCAACTGTAAGTGCTGTTATTGTGAAGTGGAAATGTTTAGGAGCAATAACAGCTCAGCCGCGAAGTGGTAGGCCACACAAGCTCACAGAATGGGACCGCCGAGTGCTGAAGCGCGTAGCGCTTAAAAATCATCTGTCCTCGGTTGCAACACTCACTACCGAGTTTCAAACTGCCTCTGGAAGCAACCTCAGCAAAATAACTATTCATCTGGAGCTTCACGAAATGGGTTTCCATGGCCGAGCAGCGTAATGCAAAGCGTCTGCTGGAGTGGTGTAAAGCTTGCCACCATTGGACTCTGGAGCAGTGGAAATGCGTTCTCTGGAATGATGAATTACGCTTCACCATCTGGCATTCCAATGGACAAATCTGGGTTTGGCGGATGCCAGGAAAACGCTACCTGCCCCAATGCATAGTGCCAACTGTAAAGTTTGGTGGAGGAGGAATAATGGTCTGGGGCTGTTTTACATGGTTCGGGCTAGGCCCCTTAGTTCCAGTGAAGGGAAATCTTAACAAATTACATTCTAGACAATTCTGTGCTTCCAACTTTGTGGCAACAACTTGGGGAAGGCCCTTTCCTGTTTAAGCATGACAATGCCCCCGTGCACAAAGCGAGGACCATACAGGAATATTTTGTTGAAATGGGTGTGGAAGAACTTGACTGGCCTGCACAGAGCCCTGACCTCAACCCCATCGAACACCTTTGGGATGAATTGGAACGCCAACTGCGAGCGAGGCATAATCCCTACCACTTTAAGGAATACCTGGAATAGTATAAAGTAATCCTTCTTCCCCCACCACCCATTTAAAAAAAAGTTGGTTGTCCCACAGGCTATCATAAGTTGAATGCACCAATTTGTAAGTCGCTCTGGATAAGAGCGTCTGCTAAATGATGTAAATGTAAAAATAATCGCCCAACATCAGTGCAGGACCTTACTAATGCTCTTGGAAGCAAGTCCCTGCAGCAATGTTCCAACATCTAGTGGAAAGCCTTCCCATAAGAGTGGAGGCTGTTATAGCAGCAAAGGGGGGACCAACTCCATATTAATGCCTATGCTTTTGGAATGAGATGTTCAACGAGCAGGTGTCCACATACTTTTGGTCATGTAGTGTATTTCAAAGCACTCAGACCCTTTTATTCATAGGCTACTTGGATATAAATGGCCAGGATAAAAAGACAACTATGCAATGCTGCTAAACCAACATTGATTAAGGGGAGGGTAGGCTATGCTTGGTTTTTAATCAAATTAAACTAAATGGGGAGAAACCAGTCGGTTTTTTCATGTTTCTAAATATGAGATTCACCGGCACAAAAGGCACATCTCTCCTTCCATGGGCACTGCGAGTCATGGCTGGATAGGCTGTGCTTCCGCTCTCAAAAGCCATGCCATTATCAACTGCGTTACCGTTAAGACCTTTTTATATAACTCCACATTAGCGCTGCATGACATTTTCACTTTTGCCCTTGTTTTTAAGGACACATCTTGAATATTGTCACCCCTCCCACCTCAGCGGAAGTGAGCTGATGTTGGATAGGTAAATTGCCGAACCTGACGTTAAGGCTGGAAAATGCCAGTGTGGCAGTTTATAGATGACAACATTTCAAACTAACGTGCGCTTGACACTTGCACCTCCTTAGCGGCAGCCGAAAATAGAGCCCTAGGTCTCAAGGACTGTGTGTGTGTATCTATTGCTGAATGATAAAGCATGTGCAGTGTGTGCAAGCATCCATTATGGTTCTGAGCCATTGTTATGGAGGCAAAATGGCTCCATGAGACTTGATATGATGTAGGCTACTCTGACAGGCCAAGCGGCAGATTTCTCTTCGTCTAACATATTCACCACACAACTTTGTCAACAAAACCACAGTTTTAGAGGATATGAATGTTTTAAATTGTTGCCTAAACAATGTTTTAGTTCTGTAAATAAATGCACGACACTTACTGAAACTAGCCTGAGGGGAGAGAGCACAAGATAGCCAGGCCTAGAAGTGTTGCTGTTTGACCTAGATAGGCCTATTGTATAACTGTCACACCTCAGCCTGCCCATAACACACAGACAAGGAACATCTTTATGAAATGAAATAGTCGAACACAGGGAATTGTTTCTAATATATAGATGACGAAAAACATAGTTTTTAATACATTTCAAATACAGGCCATGCTAACATTATTTTCTCTAATCCTTAAAAACTGTATTTTGTTTTGGTGATTTGAAGAATGTGTGTGTGTGTATATTCATAGATATTAGGGGCCTAAACATTTAGAAAAGTTATTTTAACTTTGCCTCATATTTATGTTTAGGCCTAAAATAATATATTTAGCCAAATACATGTTTAAAAAAAGTATTATCAACAAATAGCCTATAGGGCAATTTAGGCCACTAGTGCACTATGGTTGCACAACCACTAGGCTATATCTTTACCGCAGTCATCAGGCATACAATAACGATTGAAAAAGTTGTGTTTCCTCCAATATAAATGTTACACTCGTTATTGGACTGTTTGTTAACGGTAACTGAAACAAATTAGGCCATCTTCAGTTAACACTTCAATAATGGCAGTGATATAATCACACCATTTTGGGCAAGTAACGAACACAAAATGCAACCCAAAACTGTTGGATTTTCTACATTTGTAGCAATCAAAGACAAAAAGTAGCCATACCATTTAGGCTACGGCCTAAATATGAGGCTATAGTTTTTGGGATAGCCTTTCGATGTACAGATTAATAGCATAGGCCTATATGTAGGCCCATCAAATGAAAAGTATAACTTTAGGCGTATGAATCACATGCATATATTCCTAAATGATGCAGCGTATCTTTAGAAAAAATACCCCAAATCATAATAGCCTACATCATTTTTTATCGCTTAGTCAGAATTGTAGCAGATTTCGGATCTAACGTTGACAAGAGGCCTATAGGCTACTATGGAATAACATAGCATAACATAGCCCGACCACGGTAGGCTATAGCGCACTATGCTAAGCTATTCAAGGAAACATGCATTATTAGACGTGTGTTCTTGTTACAGTTGCCGACAGTATTCCTAAACCTCGACGGCGATACATAGTAGCTAACTAGCCGACTAATTTGGCTACATTGTCAACAGGAATACCGTAGTGTAAGCTTGCTCGACTGATCTACTGACCTAGTTTTGGATAGGGCGCAGAGGAGCTTTGGCCAATCATTGAGACATTTGCATAGTTCCCCATTACCCTCTGCCGCCACTTTAGAACGGGCAATCACTTGCGAGTCGACACAGGCCGAAAGAATAACACCAGTAGAAGCAACCAGGTATAGTGGGTGTCCTGTAGGGTAGTAATTTACCTGTCGGTTCCCCTGTCGCTCTGTCACCGCCGCCAGCCGCTGCATTCCTTGCCGACATGGCTGGAGCCGGTACGCCGGGGCCCAGGACTCCAATGCATGTGGATAAGGCGGTAGTATTGGCTAGTATGTTGTGTTGGAGACGTAGCTTAGGAGGGAGGAAGGGGGGGGGGGGGGGGGGGGGGGGGCAGAGTGTGTTGTATAATTGACTGATTTATTCTTCCAAGAGTGGAGGGATCGCGGACACAAAAACGTGAGAGGAAAGTACACGGTGTAATCGGGGCACAACGTAGACTACAAATCCGTGAAAATGCGGAAGAGGAGACGCACAGCCTCCACCCACCGTCCGGCCAAAGATGGTTTAGTATGGTAGGCATCACTGCACTCAAATGACCCATTAAAAAAAGGACGGCTCTTCACGCATTATCTTACCAAGCCTGGGTGAGAGAGGGCATAGAGAGAAATAGTATTGGCATCTTTTTATATGCGATAACTCTGCCATGGTTCGTTGGACCAAGCCTATGAGGCAAATTAATGGCGTTTTTGTAATAAAAAAATTATAAACACCAAAACTAAGAACTGTGGTAAACACAGACTTCGGAGATCTTATACGTTTTGTTCTATGACATAATCTTTAAACAGCTAACGTAACTTTTTGTGAATTTTGAATAATGTAATAATAAAAAACACATAAAATATTCATAATTCAAAAAGGTAATGTTAACTGACGGTATTATGTCATAGAACATAACGTATAAACTCTCCTAAGCCTGTGTAAACATGTTATTCTTTCCGCATTCATTTTCCCCAAAGGGATGGCTGAACGAACCTAGCGACATTAAGGTCAAGTGATCATACAGGCTACATTTCCAAATAAAAGACCCTCTGATTTTTTTTTTAACTTGACTTAAAGGATATATTTCTGATTTAAAATCACAAAGTTTAAAGTGACTTAAACATACATTTATTGAAGAAAAAACCCCAATATATTATTGAAATCAATAAACAAAGATTGCCCTATACTTCTTCATAGGTTCCTGCCTTCTGAGGAGTTTTTCTTAGCCAGTGTGTTTCTGCATTGCTTGCTCTTTTGTGTTTTTGGCTGAGTATCTGTAAAGCACTTTGAAGAGCTTTATAAAATAAATGTGATTGGTTGATTAGTCTACACATGTTTGCTTCTGTACCATTTAAACTAAAGAAGGCATAGCACTCTACAGCTATTTGCTACTGTACTGTTCGTTCTACAGTGAGGGAAAAAAGTATTTGATCCCCTGCTGATTTTGTACGTTTGCCCACTGACAAAGAAATTATCAGTCTATAAAGTTAATGGTAGGTTTATTTGAACAGTGAGAGACAGAATAACAACAAAAAAATCCAGAAAAAAAGTGTATTTTATACAGGTAACGAGCTGAGATTAGGAGCACACTCTTAAAGGGAGTGCTCCTAATCTCAGCTTGTTACCTGTATAAAAGACACCTGTCCACAGAAGCAATCAATCAATCAGATTCCAAACTCTCCACCATGGCCAAGACCAAAGAGCTCTCCAAGGATGTCAGGGACAAGATTGTAGACCTACACAAGGCTGGAATGGGCTACAAGACCATCACCAAGCCGCTTGGTGAGAAGGTGACAACAGTTGGTGCGATTATTCGCAAATGGAAGAAACACAAAAGAACTGTCAATCTCCCTCGGCCTGGGGCTCCATGCAAGATCTCACCTCGTGGAGTTGCAATGATCATGAGAACGGTGAGGAATCAGCCCAGAACTACACGGGAGGATATTGTCAATGATCTCAAGGCAGCTGGGACCATAGTCACCAAGAAAACAATTGGTAACACACTACGCCATGAAGGACTGAAATCCTGCAGCGCCCGCAAGGTCCCCCTGCTCAAGAAAGCACATATACAGGGCCGTCTGAAGTTTGCCAATGAACATCTGAATGATTCAGAGGAGAACTGGGTGAAAGTGTTGTGGTCAGATGAGACCAAAATCGAGCTCTTTGGCATCAACTCAACTCGCCGTGTTTGGAGGAGGAGGAATGCTGCCTATGACCCCAAGAACACCATCCCCACCGTCAAACATGGAGGTGGAAACATTATGCTTTGGGGGTGTTTTTCTGCTAAGGGGACAGGACAACTTCACAGCATCAAAGAGACGATGGACGGGGCCATGTACCATCAAATCTTGGGTGAGAACCTCCTTCCCTCAGCCAGGGCATTGAAAATGGGTCGTGGATGGGTATTCCAGCATGACAATGACCCAAAATACACGGCCAAGGCAACAAAGGAGTGGCTCAAGAAGAAGCACATTAAGGTCCTGGAGTGGCCTAGCCAGTCTCCAGACCTTAATCCCATAGTAAATCTGTGGAGGGAGCTGAAGGTTTGAGTTGCCAAACGTCAGCCTCGAAACCTTAATGACTTGGAGAATATCTGCAAAGAGGAGTGGAACAAAATCCCTCCTGAGATGTGTGCAAACCTGGTGGCCAACTACAAGAAACGTCTGACCTCTGTGATTGCCAACAAGGGTTTTGTCACCAAGTACTAAGTCATGTTTTGCAGAGGGGTCAAATACTTATTTCCCTCATTAAAATGCAAATCAATTTATAACATTTTTGACATGCGTTTTTCTGGATTTTTTTGTTGTTATTCTGTCTCTCACTGTTCAAATAAACCTACCATTAAAATTATAGACTGATCATTTCTTTGTCAGTGGCCAAATGTACAAAATCAGCAGGGGATCAAATATTTTTTTCCCCTCACTGTATGTGCATTCGGAAAAGTATTCAGACCCCTTGAATTTTTCCACATTTTGTTACGTCACAGCCTTATTCTAAAATTGATTAAATAGTTTTTTCCCCTCATCAATCTACACACAATACCCCATAATGACGAAGCAAAAACAGTTTATTATTTTTTTGTTGCAAATGTATAAAAAATAAAAAACGAAATATCACATTTGCATAAGTATTCAGACCCTTTACTCAGTACTTTGTTGAAGCACCTTTGGCAGTGATTACAACCTTGAGTCTTCTTGGGTATGACACTACAAGCTTGGCACACCTGTATTTGGGGAGTTTCTCCCATTCCTCTCTGCAGATCCTCTCAAGCTCTGTCAGGTTGGATGGGGAGCGTCGCTGCACAGCTATTTTCAGGTGTCTCCAGAGATGTTTGATCGGGTTCAAGTCCGGGCTCTGGCTGGGCCACTCAAGGACATTCATAGTCTTGTCCCGAAGCCACTCCTGCGTTACTTGGCTGTGTGCTTAGGGTTGTTGTCCTGTTGGAAGGTGAATCTTCGCCCCAGTCTGAGGTCCTGAGCGCTCTGGAGCAGGTTTTCATCAAGGATCTCTCAGTACTTTGTTTCGTTAATCTTTTCCTCGATCCTGACTAGTCTCCCAGTCCCTGCCACTGAAAAACATCCCCACAGCATATGACGCTGCCACCAACATGCTTCACCGTAGGGATGGTGCCAGGTTTCCTCCAGATGTGACCCTTGGCATTCAGGCCAAAGAGTTCAATCTTGGTTTCATCAGACCAGAGAATCTTGTTTTTCCTGGTCTGAGAGTCTTTAGGTGCCTTTTGGCAAACTCCAAGTGGGCTGTCATGTGCCTTTTACTGAGGAATGGCTTCCGTCTGGCCACTCTACCATAAAGGCCTGATTGATGGAGTGCTGCAGAACCATCGGGTTCTTGGTCACCTCCCTGACCAAGGTCCTTCTCCCCCGATTGCTTAGTTTGGCAGAGCGGCCAGCTCTAGGAAGAGTCTTGGTGGTTCCAAACTTCTACCATTTAAGGATGATGGAGGCCATTGTGTTCTCGGGGACCTTCAATGCTGCAGACATTTTTTGGTACCCTTCCCAAGATCTATGCCTCGACACAATCCTGTCTCGGAGCTCTACGGACAATTCCTTCGACCTCATGGCTTGGTTTTTGCTCTGACATGCACTGTCAACTGTGGGACCTTATTAAAAACAGGTGTGTGCCTTTCCAAATCATGTCCAATCAATTGAATTTACCACTGGTGGACTCCAATCAAGTTGTAGAAACATCTCAAGGATGATCAATGGAAACAGGATGCACCTGAGCTCAATTTAGAGTCTCATAGCAAAGGCTCTGAATACTTATGTAAATAAGGTGTTTCTTTTTTCATTTGTTTTGTAATACATTTTCAAAAAAATGTTAAAATCTGTTTTTGCTTTTGTCATTATGGGGTGTTGGGTGTAGATTGATGAGGAAAAATTAGATTTTATCAATTTTAGAATAAGGCTGTAACGTAACAAAATGTGGAAAAAGTCAAGGGGTCTGAATACTTTCCGAATGCACTGTAAGTTGTCTCCAATAAAGGGGGTGATTTGGAATCCTCAGAGACTGTTCTAAAAGGATCTGTGTCATATCATGAAGATTTGCATCATTATGGTCTATTTTCAGCGAAAAGCTACGGCCACCGCTGACAAAAATAGCAATTTTCAATGGAGACCTCTTTTACAGCACTATACAGCTATGTTCTACTGTTCTGTTAATTCTATTAACCAGAGTGGGATCTTATGGCCCATTTTTAACAGAGAAATTGGCATAGTAGGCAATGTAACCAATCACAGCCCTCCTTTTACTTGCACATCCTGCAAATCACCAGCAGAGGTTGAACACTTTGAATCCATTTCCACATTCACTCTGTTGTTAATACATACAATTTGGATTATAACTCTAAAAGTAGCAGATTTCGCACTCTGGAACTTTGATTTTTGCATTGGCAAAAATGATGGAGCATTTTAATTTTATGCATATTCTTTCCCTCTGATCATACACTATTGGACAGCATCCTGAATACTTTTACAGTAAGTACAGAGCTCATCATTGAGTGGGGAAGGTGTTTACATTTCCGTATTTCTCTATATTTTGCGGTACATGAACCCTTTTCCATTTCTGGATTTGAACATTGAAAATAATAGTTCCACGACAGATACTATGATATTGTTCCAATACTGTTAGTATTGTTCTGTCTCTGTATGGCTGGGTACATAGTTGGTATATTGATTCAGTAATACAGAAGTCCGTTTGGTCCCAGAGGCAGATCTCAATGCTATGATAACCAAGTTACCCTGAATAAATGAATTATTGAATAAATGAATAGAATAAATGAATTATTTTCTGAATAAAACAAGAATGAAAAAAGAACAAGATGTGCTTGTCATTATTTTATTTTAACTTTACATTATACATGGTATTATAATAGGTCACTGGTGAATACAGACACTATTTTCTTATTTCTACCCACATTTCTACCCAACACTTTTGAACCATGTAATAATTAATCAGATACATGTGCTTTCTGTCCAATTGATGTAAACTTTCCACACAAATATTTATTTGAAAAAGTTAAAGACCTGCACAGTGTAGGTCTGTTGTTTTAACAATGTAATAACGATTTATAATGTTATATGTGTCCATAACCGTCAATAACAGTCTATAGCAGTGTAACATAACTGTTTATAACAATGTACAGCACAACTACTATTCTCCCGAGTGGCGCAGTGGTCACTAGAGATCCTGGTTCGAATCCAGGCTCTGATGTGACCGGGAGACCCATGGGGTGGCGCACAATTCGTCCAGGGTAGGGAAGGGAATGGCCGGCAGGGATGTAGCTGAGTTGGTAGAGCATGGCGTTTGCAACGCCAGGGTTGTGGGTTCGTTTCCCACGGGGGGCCGGTATGAAAAAATAAAAATAAAATAATGTTTGCACTCACTAACTGTAAGTCGCTCTGGATAAGAGCGTCTGCTAAATGACTAAAATGTAAATGTAACTACCAATCCATTGATTCCTTTCAAGAGCATAAACTTTGTTTCTGAATCCACAGACCCCTTACTGGGCGCAGCATGGGGGACAGCGCCATCTAGTGCAATGGAAATGGAAACTATTATTCCAGAAGACTATTGAACTTTCAAAAATTAATTAAATTTCAGCTCATTAATATTTAACATTGTTTTTTAATACACATTTCGATGTCACCTTATTAACATAACATTAATTACGTTTTTGAACATTTACTGATTGCATATTTTATTTCATTTAGCCCAGTAGATTTAATTTCTTCCGGTAAGGGACCTCCCATGCACATGCACCCAATACATTATGCTCATAACAAGCCCGGCCCTGGACGTTCTGCCACCCTAGGCGAGACAAGAAATTCTGCACACCTCCTAGCCTTGCTAAACTAGAATAGGCTAGTGTACAGCAGGGGTCCCCCATAGGTTTGGCCTCGGGCCAATTTTTCTCTCCGCTAATAGTTGGCAGAACATAATAGTGGCCCAATTCATAGGCAAATTAAACAAAAATGTTAACACATCTGGTAGGCTATATAATCAGTTCAATGTCAATAACATATTCTAATATTTTCAATCTGATTACACCAATATCACCAATGTCTCTATTAAATTCCTTTTGTATATTTCTGTGTGTTGATTGGGGAAAAACAGCTTGCAATGCAGAGAAAAGTTCGCTCTGAAAAAGTCTCAAAAGAAAGCTGGATAATGAAAATATAAGTTTCAGGGAAGAATGGACAGCATAATAGACATTCTTACCATATTTTTCCAATGTCAAACCAGAGTGTCTTGTTTGCAACGAAACGGTTGTCAAAATGCCACCCTTGTCTAACCGCTGCTCTAGGCGGCTGCCTAATCCTGCCTAATGGGCGTGCCGACCATGGGGCCTAATCATAGTTTTATATTTAGAATCCACTCTCTCATCAGCCCAGCCAGGCAATTTATAAACTTGATCTCCAAGATTAAAAGCATCTAGACATTATCTCACATTTCTTTTAGATTAACATTTAGTTTTCAACAGCAGAGATTTGTATAAGCCTTGCTGTCTGTCTCGTCGACATTTACAACATTGTTTCAATATTCAATTTCGATCTCCAGCTGTCCCATAGCAATGAACGTGTCGGGAGTCGGGGTGAGACAGACAGGTAGGCAGCCTTTCTCAGCTAGTCGAAATCATGATTCAGCATAATTTTTATGGATATATACAAAGAACTATCAATAGAAAACAGGTAAAACGAAATGAAGTGCAGCTAGTTTGAACTTTCCAGCTTCAGTTTGAAGTGATTGTGTTAGCTGTGTTGTTGGCTAGCTTTTGAACAACAGTGTCCTGACGAGAGATAAAATAATCTATGCCAGATGAAATCGCACATCATTAGCTCATTGTTATGGATGTATCCAAATAAATGTCACTAAACAAATACAAAAGCAGCTACTTCTTTGTTATTCTGGCTGCACTGTTTGACATGACTGTAAGTTAGCCGTAGTTGGCTAGCTAGCAAGCAAGGGATAAGAACGTTGGCAGCCAGTATGGCAATGGAACAGTTAGAACGAACGACTGGGTCGCGTCCATAGATACAGAACAAAAAGACTGAACGACTGGGAACCGAACAAATGACCAGCTGGCTTGGGTAGCAACCCTATATTTGTGTCGGGTCTTTATCTTGTGGAAGGATGAAATAGTATGAATAAATTCAATAAAATAACATTTTTAAGGAAAATATGTCATTCATTATTTTAATATGTTGTTAACCCGTTGTATAAAAGTAATAATACCTTCGAAGCTGGTGTTTGGAGGATATGTTGGCACAGTTTTCCGGCCCTCGACTTGGGCTCGGGCCTAACAACACCCATTCCAATATATCCTCCAAACACTGGCTTCTCTGTAGCTCAATTGGTAGAGCATGGTGCTTGTAACGCCAGGGTAGTGGGTTCGATCCCCGGGACCACCCATTCGTAAAAATGTATGCACACATGACTGTAAATCGCTTTGGATAAAAGCGTCTGCTAAATGGCAGATTATATTATTATCACTTAAATAACCACTAGAACTCAACAGTAAGCCTCAATACCTACTAAAATAGCATGGAAAAGAGAGGGTAGGATCAGAGAAAAATAACGCTTCTTGAAACAGGAAAAATATACTACAATTTGCGATCTTGTGTTCAAGTAACGGAGGACTTTTATTTTGAAGCTTTTTGATCGATTTAGACCCATTAATGTTGCTTAATGCCGCTGATTTCATGGAGCTGTTAGAGTCCATGTAGCCTACAGCGGTCGTCACTACCACAGCCACAAAGTCATAAACCCCTCCTATTTCTCAAATGTATCTTCTTAAAATCTGATTTTAAACCTAACCCTAACCATACTGCTAACCTTATGCCTAACCTTAAATTAAGACCAAAAAGCAGATTTTTGTTTTCATAAATTATTACAATATAGCCCATTTTGACTTTGTGGCTGTGGTAACTAGTGACAACCGCCTACAGCAGGTGATCTATTCTATTGTATACGGTTATGTACTCAACAGCAGGGGAGGTACCAGAAGGGGGGCCGGGGTGGCACCAGCCCCTCCTGATATATGATTGGCCACCCTTGTGTGCCAATTTTAAATGCTATTTCTGATACAATTTGCAGATTTTCCATGGCCACCCATGACTGGTTCTTGGTCCGCCCATTAGAATATTCCTAGAAATGCTCCTGTTCAACAGTGAGGCATTGGTCTAGCTATGGCTGTCCATGATCCACCAACAACAGCTCCAACGCCCTCCACATTCATCCAGCACATGTTTTGATGGATTTCAACTTGAGGTATCTTGAATGGAGGGCTGAGGCTTTAACATGGAAATAGGCAGACATACTATCCAAATTCAATAGTCACACACACACACACACACACACACACAGTCTCTAATTTCCTTCCTCCTTCAGCTTCTCTTTTCTCTCTGGAATTATTAACAAAGAGGTGAAGCAATATTGGTTAGAAAACCACTTTAAATCATGCACCTTTTATTAACGGTTTATAAAGGGTTTATAAAGCCTTTATAGACTTAGCAATAGGTTCATTATAGATATGGTCTGGGCCTGTACCTCCTTCTAACCACTAGATGGTAGGCACGGATTTTCCTGAAAATGTAAAGAAGAACCCCAATGGATTTCAATGTACACTCCGGGCCCCATTGTCTCTGACAGGTGGAATCATTTTAACATGACGCATCTCAAATGAACATCAATGCAAACATGAAGAGTCATTGCTTTATCTGATGTGAAACAACGCTCCAGGCCCTAGTTTTATGGCCCTATCAATGACCCAACACATGAAACTACAACCACATATCATCATGTCATCCCAGATAGCATCTCCATCAACATACTGATTTAAATTAGTATCAACTCCACCTCAAGGAAAACAAAAGCCAGAATTCCCTAATTTCCTCTTAGACTAAATGTTCTTGCCACCGAACTGGAGGGTCTGGATAGTGGGTCCTGGCAGAAAAAGTTGGTGCAGGGCATTTTCACAACACACACAGACACACACACACACACACACACACACACACACACACACACACACACACACACACACAGTGTGAGTATCAACATTTACATTCATAGTATATGAATGCCAGGTGCCAGGACGAGAACCTCTCCCTCAATGTGAGCAAGACAAAGGATCTGATCGTGGACTACAGGAAAAGGAGGGCCGAACACGCCCCCATTAACATCGACAGGGCTGTAGTGGAGCGGGTCGAGAGTTTCAAGTTCCTTGGTGTCCACATCACCAACAAACTATCATGGTCTAAACACACCAAGACAGTCGTGAAGAGGGCACGACAACACCTTTTCCCCCTCAGGAGACAGAAAAGATTTGGCATGGGTCTCCAGATCCTCAAAAAGTTATACAACTGCACCATCGAGAGCATCCTGACCGGTTGCCTCACTGCCTGGTATGACAACTGCTCGGCATCTGACCGTAAGGCGCTACAGAGGGTAGTACGTATGGCCCAGTACATCACTTGGGCCAAGCTTCCTTCCATCCAGGACCTATATACTAGGTGGTGTCAGAGGAAAGCCCAAAAATGTGTCAAAGACTCCAGTCACCGAAGTCATAGACTGTTCTCTCTGCGCCAAGTCTACGACCAAAAGGCTCCTTAACAGCTTTCCCCCCCAAGCCATAAGACTGCTGAACAATTAATCAAATGGCCACCCAGACTATTTACATTGACACCCCCCCCCCCCCCACCCGCTGTCTATTATCTATGCATAGTCACTTTACCCCTACCTACATGTACAAATTACCTTGACTAACCTGTACCCCCACACATTGACTCGGTACCGGTACCCCCTGTATATAGCCTCGTTATTGTTAATTTATTGTGTTACTTTTTATAATTTTTTACTTTAGTTTATTTGGTAAATATTTTCTTAAGTCTTTCTTGAACTGCATTGTTGGTTAAGGGCTTGTAAGTAAGCATTTCACGGTAAGGTCTACACCTGTTGTATTCGGCGCATGTGACAAATAAAGTTTGATTTGATTTGATAGTACATACTCTACAATACATGCATTTACATGCAGACAAATAAAGGAAAACAGGCTTCATCTCATCTCTGCCTGTTACACTGATAACTGGGCACTATGAAGCACCTTATTTATTGAGAGAGAGGCCACTAGGGAGCCGGCGCCACAGTTTATTTATGGAGCTCACAGACTAGTGAAGTAGCAGCACTGCCCCAGGCCATCACTCTGGAGCAACACATCAGTAAAACAGAATCTAGAGCTCAGTGCACCACCCAGCAGTCTACTGATTCATTTGTAAAATCTCAATATCCCCATGCATATTTAATGACCCGGCAAATAAAGAGAGTCCCACTGGAAAAAGGTGGGCTAGTGGGGCTTGCCCGTACCAGTTAAATAAGCATGTAGTTAGGGAAACCCCCATAAAGGTGTCATTTGGTGTGGCTGAATAGATCCACATGCCGGTAAGTGTATACCTGCAGAGTAGTATGACACTGGCGATGGCTAGCTACAGTATCTCTGTCTGAATAGCTCACAGCTCTGTTGCTGCTGACAGCTAATCCAAATGATAGTCCAATGGAAAAGCTGCCAAAGAATGGGAGTGGTGTACCGGGAACATGATTATAGTTGAGTCTTACGTTTCACCTGCGCACATCTTTCACCACAGCAGCCACGCTACTCTTGTCTCTCTTTGAATGCGGCTTGTCAATATTTAATCATTCATCCACTGGGTTAGTATCAGATGAACATGGTTGGCTGAGGAGGTGGGGCTGAAGGGCTGTGAGCTAATGAGGGAACGGGGGTGGACTTTAGGAGGGGAGGCAGACAGGTACCCCCGCCCCTCCACGCAATGAGTGGTGGAGCTATCAGAAGGCGAGGAATGCAAAGGGGGCTGTTCAGTCCTACTCCACCTACCCACACACAGCTCACCATGCCAAGATACTGAGGTGATGGACTGTACTCTTTCACCCTCCCTCCCTCCCTCCCTCCCTCCCTCCCAGTATCTCTCTCCCACTGAACCTTCTGGAGGTGACGTGACGTGACGTGACCCATGCAATGCTAGGAGTTCTATCTGGTGCCTTGGACCTATCTGGTGCCATCTTCACACCCTTAGCCTGAACACGACCAGCCTCCACCTCCGCCTAGCCATTCCTCATTGTGCTCATCACCCCCTTGTCTCCCAGTCTGATCCCCTGGTCTCGCCAGAGAGGAGCAGACAGCATAAGCCCATTTCACATCTGAGGAACGTCTGAGGGACCCGTGGCACCACACAAAGGAGGATCCAGCCCCATGGCGCATAAGAACTCAGGAAGGATGAGCATCCACATCTAGCAGATTTTTTTTGTCTTTTTCAGAGCAAAGTGTGCAAGAAATAGGGGGAGAGACATACGCCTGTGAAATAAAGAGAGGGAACAGGACAGGGAGAAGCGGGGGAGAATGCCTTTTGGGGGGTTTTCAGGGCTGAAGGAGCGGGTTCTGAAACCAGGGAAGGAGGAGGTGAAGAATACAGTAGGAGACGGTCTGGGGAACCTGCAGAGGTGAGTCTGGGACTGTCTGGAAGTGATGGAGGAACTGGGATTGTATAGGTGTGAATCCCTACTCTCTGACTGAGAGATGTGTGTGACTCAATGGGGGTGAAAGCGCGGCACAGTGCAGGTTTGATATCTACTTATAGCAATAGATCTGATAATTTCACATAAGTGTGTTGTAAGATACTATTTCGGTGGACTTGTAGGTATTGTATCTTAGTTATCTTATTGTATTTAAGGATCTTTATATAGCTTGGTCAAAGTTCTAATCCAAATTATAGTCCTATAGGCTAGAATAAAAAAATCAGTATATTCACTGGTAAACATTGTAGTGCTATAATCCCAAACATAGATCATTTGATCAAAATTCTATAATCTATTAACAAAGCCAGTGGTGGGGACCAGGAGGATTGAAGAGCCTTAGAGGCAGAACATGAAGCTCACCATGTACTGTACCCAGAGATCCCAGAGATAACTAAATATTTGATTATTTTGCTTGCCAGGCAATCCCAGTGACGTAGTCCCAGGTTTTATTTTAAGACATTATGATACATATTTCACAAGGGGAGGACGATGAATATGGAACTTCCACATAAGAGGTAGATTGTTGTCTTAAAATAGATAAACCGAGTAAGTGGGCAATTTCCTGTGAAAGGGAATTTTGCATGTTGAGAGCCAGAATGCTCACTGTGCAGTCTGAAATAGAACAAGAGAAAGCCAAACAGTGTGAACAGTTGATTGATTATTTCAGAATCTCCAATACGAAATTGTATAAAGAAGGTGAACTGGACATATTTATCCAACAAGCTATTTTCATGTATCTAAGGATTGTAATATCAGTACACTGAAAATGTGTTTTCATTCCAATTGTGTCCATCTGTGGTCAGCTTACTTTCTATTTTATGTCATACATTTACATCAGTTTAATTTGAAACACTGTACAAACACCGGGAAAAGGCTAAATGAAATGTTTCATTAAAGTCTACAAGGATCCATGCCGTGGGAAAATGCTATTCCACCAAACTGCTAAAATCAATACTAGCAGGTGAAACTAAAGAAATGTGAATCCAGAGAGACCAAGAGAGGAAAATATGAATTAAGCATGAGCAGAATGAATCATTAGGCTTAATCTCATTTTCAGATGAAACCTGTTTGTTTTTTCAAGAGGGTATTCCAGATTGCTCTGGGACAGACTACATTATTTATCGAGTTATATATTATGGATCCAGTTAATCACTCTTTCAATTTTGTCTTATGAATCAATTATAGCCTGACTATAAAGTGAGTATCATAAAAACAGAAATAATTTCCATTCAATAATTAACTTAACACTTCATTTGACACAGTCCAGAAATGGCCAGGCATTTTCTACCAAACTGCGCTAAATCCCAAAAAAATAATCTTTCCTATGAGACGTTAGTCTGAAAAAAAAAAAAAATCACACGGAATGACATGCTTCTCTCAATAGGGTCTCTCTAGAATGTTGCTGGCCAGTCCGTCTGTTAACTGACACTGTTTTAGTCCGTTCGTAATACCTTCTTTAAATATAAGCTTTCCTTGGTACAAAAAAGGTTGCGAGATAATGACATTGAACAATAAAACACAAATACATATTCTGTTCTGTATGACAACTCAGTCATAGACACAGTTGTGTAAAGTAACTAAGTAAAAGTACTACACTCTAAAAAGAAAAAGGTTCCTAGAGTATCCTTTAGGGGTTCTTCAAATTGAAACTGTGGGGGAACCCCTATAACCTATTCGAAGAACCCTTTAAAAGGGTTCTTAAAATAATCCCTTTTGATGAATCCTTGAAGAACCCATTGAATAACATTTTTGGGGTTAATTTTTGAATTACCCCCCTCCCCTATTATTACACATAACAATAAAACAATATTTTAGTTGTCAGTGTCTATGATTTCAGTGGCAAAGCAGAATAAAAAAAATCCAAATATGAGGTAAACTCCCAGCAGAACACCAAGTCCAATGGGTATATCCTCTGGCGTGTTGACGTTAATGTGTTGATGTTCTCCGTATCCATAGCCAGAATGATTTTGCAGTGCATGGTGATCGAACAGGTTTCCTGTTATATTCATTAGAGGTGTAGGGAGGGTGAAGTCTGTGAATCCCAAAAATAGTAATTATACAGATGATTAACAAAACATGCACGACAGTATTCATACCTTGGTTTTTGTGGTGAATGTGAATGAAAAAAACTGTTTTGATAATGGTTTTCATACACATACCTTGTCCATAATGTAGAGGCCTATGGGATTTTAATTGAAGAGAAAAGGGAGAATGGTAAGTGTGATCTGTGTAACATACCATTAGTAACTGACATACCTTTGTATGCCTCCTCATCTGTATACCTGCAGACACAGACACAAAAGTGAGCAGTTCAGTCATCTGCACCCAATACAGCTAGCCTTCAACATATTCTTAAAGCCTACACATTCTTACCTCTTTGTTGATTGATATCCATTGAATTGTGTCCATTTACTGTTTTAGAAAGATTTGCACAAATATGAAAAGATAGATGGTATCATCATAAAACAATATCAATTTAGATCGTACAAGGGACAAACCTCACCTTCTGTTATGAACCCCGGGCTTTAAAAGTCTAGGGTGGATGGAACAGAGACCCGTAACATAATTTATGCAAATTAGAATCATGACATGGAAACAGTGAGAACAAAAAAAATACACCGACAACCATAAACTACCGTCAAACACAAGATGTTTATTTTTAACACACGGTAAAGGTTTGGGAAAAAGGGCTGAGCAGGACCCAAGAAATGAAACAATAGTGTAAAAAAAAAAACTAAACTGATCTTGCCTGCCTCAAGAACCGCTAAGCTACTGCTAATCATACAAAAATTACAGTGGGTGGTCCGCTCAGGTCTAACTAGTGTTTTTAGACAATTTTCTTCCTACGGGTAATGTATGCCCAAGGGCAACTTGCTTAAATCCCCCTTTTCCCAGAAACACACAAAGTTTCCAAACAGAGTAACCAGCAAATGAGCGCGTACACAAAACACAGGACACCACAGTATCCATACTCACATACGGAAAATAGTCTCTTCCAACAAACACAACTGACTGGCTTTTAAAACAATGGGAGGTGTAAGTGAAAAACCAGAAACAGGTGGTGCAATACAGAGGAATGTCCACTGATTGGTCCACCTCGGCAATCAGCAGCCAAACGGATGTCGTACAGGTGGGACACCCCAACGACCACCAATCAGGAACATAAAGGACACCTGTGATTAGGGCAGAAGGAGAGGAAAAACACAAAAACACACACAGGATACCTGTATCCGTAACACCTTAAATTGAGGAGATCTTTAAATGTTTCAGTTAAGTGCCTGCACCTGCTGTCCTTTCAAATTCAAACGTTTCAGTTGGGCAGTTAGCTTCCTGCAAGAACCCCTACCAACTAAGGAGGTTCCTCGATGAACCCCACCTTCTATGGGGTTCTTGGAAGAACCTTTTGGGGCAATTTTCAGTGCCAAGAACCCTAAGGTTCTTCGAAGAACTTTGAGGATCTTAGAAGAACCCTTGATGAACCCATACTTTTTAATAAAGTATTTTTTTGTGGAATCTGTACTATTTATATATATTTTTTACAACTTTTACTTCACTACATTCCTAAAGAAAATATGTACTTTTTACTCTCATACATTTTCCCTGATACCCAAAAGTACTTGTTACATTTCGAAAGCTTTGCAGGACAGGAAAAAGGTATAATTCACACACTTATCAAAAGAACACGTAGTCATCCCTACTGCCTCTAAACTGGCAGACTCACTAAACACAAATGCTTCATTTGTAAATGAGGTCTGAGTGTTGGAGTGTGCCTCTGGCTATCCGTAAATGAAAAAAAGAAACAATAAAAAATGGTGCAGTCTGGTTTATGTAATATAATGAATTTGAAGGGATTTATTGCATTTACTTTTAGTTTTGATACTTAAGTATATTTAAAACCGGATACTTTTAGAATTTTACTCAAGTAATATTTTACTGAGTGACTTTCACTTTTACTTGAGTCATTTTCTACTAAGGTATGTTTACTTTTACTCAAGCATGACAATTGGGAACTTTTTCCACCACTGGATAGACATGACGACGTCATAGACCTCATGCAGACAGGATGATGTCACACTTAACTTTCATCTGACTGGAAAACAATACATCACTTTGGATTTATCAAGACAGTCAATATTTGATTAAATAAGTAAATATTTTTTCAATCAAATGTTGTTCTTGTGATTTTACAGATCAATTTTAAACAGGAATTCATACTCTTTGTCTTTAAAAGACAATGAGATTGACAAGGAAAGCAGCTTTGTTTTTATACCATCAGTTGACATGATCTGTCAGTTGAATGTCAAAAAGTACAATATAAGGTACAGTTGGTTTCTGTGTTTTTGATGTTGCCACTTGCCACTGTAGCTTTGACCAAAATGATGAAATCAAAAACAAAGCTCTTGAGAAAGAGAGATTGTTTTCAATTCTCTGTTGAGGTATAATTATCTCCATGTTTTTTATCCACTCGTTAGAGCAGAGATCAATTTGGTCTACTTTGACGATAGAAAATACTTAATTAAAAAGGCACTAATACTGTTTTATTAGTGTTGAGGCGAGCCAAGCGTCATTTCCTCACTCTGATAATGATCAACCATTCTCACAGCATTTGTCCAGTCTATTTTAGACAGTAGAGCGCACAATCTGTGAGCTGGGAAAGAGGGATGGGGGATGGAGAAAGCAGGGGTCCCTTACAGAAAAAACACATGAATTTCACATGATCTTTACATGTGACAACATGTAAAGCAACATGTGATAACATGAAACTACACATGTGAAAACGTGTTCACATGTGAAAACGTGTTCACATGTGAAGTGTTCCAAAATAAATCATGTAATGTTCTGTAAGAGGTGAGTTGGGAAAGACGGATAGGGGCTGGGGATGGCAGGTGAGTTGGGGTGGAAGAACTGGGGCTGGGGAATACAGGGGTGAGTTGGGGTGGAAGGATGTGGGATCATTGGATGGGGAAGACAGGGGTGAGTTGGGGTGGAGGGATGGGGGCTAACAGGGTTGGGAAAGACAAGGGTGGCAAGCTGTGGGAGACAGGGATGAGTTAGATTCTGCTTGCTAATAGGTAATGGGAGAAAACAGCCTTTTGTTCATTTACGAATGTGGGCCTTTCAAGCAAGTCCTCAAAGGTGTTTTTGCACATGAACGACTTGTGAAATAATAGAGGACTGGATGGTGTACATACTATAGACCTCTAAAGAGTGCAGGGAAGTAGGAATGGAGCCCAGCATCTTTGATCAAGGGACTAGATTTTAAAAATATATACAGTGGGGAAAAAAAGTATTTAGTCAGCCACCAATTGTGCAAGTTCTCCCACTTAAAAAGATGAGAGAGGCCTGTAATTTTCATCATAGGTACACGTCATCTATGACAGACAAATTGAGGGAAAAAAATCCAGAAAATCACATTGTAGGATTTTTTATGAATTTATTTGCAAATGATGGTGGAAAATAAGTATTTGGTCACCTACAAACAAGCAAGATTTCTGGCTCTCACAGACCTGTAACTTCTTCTTTAAGAGGCTCCTCTGTCCTCCACTCATTACCTGTATTAATGGCACCTGTTTGAACTTGTTATCAGTATAAAAGACACCTGTCCACAACCTCAAACAGTCACACTCCAAACTCCACTATGGCCAAGACCAAAGAGCTGTCAAAGGACACCAGAAACAAAATTGTAGACCTGCACCAGGCTGGGAAGACTGAATCTGCAATAGGTAAGCAGCTTGGTTTGAAGAAATCAACTGTGGGAGCAATTATTAGGAAATGGAAGACATACAAGACCACTGATAATCTCCCTCGATCTGGGGCTCCACGCAAGTTCTCACCCCATGGGGTCAAAATGATCACAAGAACGGTGAGCAAAAATCCCAGAACCACACGGGGGGACCTAGTGAATGACCTGCAGAGAGCTGGGACCAAAGTAACAAAGCCTACCATCAGTAACACACTACGCCGGCAGGGACTCAAATCCTGCAGTGTCAGACGTGTCCCCCTGCTTAAGCCAGTATATGTCCAGGCCCGTCTGAAGTTTGCTGGAGTGCATTTGGATGATCCAGAAGAGGATTGGGAGAATGTCATATGGTCAGATGAAACCAAAATATAACTTTTTGGTAAAAACTCAACTTGTCGTGTTTGGAGGACAAAGAATGCTGAGTTGCACCATACCTACTGTGAAGCATGGGGGTGGAAACATCATGCTTTGGGGCTGTTTTTCTGCAAAGGGACCAGGACGACTGATCCGTGTAAAGGAAAGAATGAATGGGGCCATGTATTGTGAGATTTGAGTGAAAACCTCCTTCCATCAGCAAGGGCATTGAAGATGAAACGTGGCTGGGTCTTTCAGCATGACAATGTTCCCAAACACACCGCCCGGGCAACGAAGGAGTGGCTTCGTAAGAAGCATTTCAAGGTCCTGGAGTGGCCTAGCCAGTCTCCAGATCTCAACCCCATAGAAAATCTTTGGAGGGAGTTGAAAGTCCGTGTTGCCCAGCGACAGCCCCAAAACATCACTGCTCTAGAGAGATCTGCATGGAGGAATGGGCCAAAATACCAGCAACAGTGTGTGAAAACCTTGTGAAGACTTACAGAAAACGTTTGACCTGTGTCATTGCCAACAAAGGGTATATAACAAAGTATTGAGAAACTTTTGTTATTGACCAAATACTTATTTTCCACCATAATTTGCAAATAAATTCATTAAAAATCCTACTATGTGATTTTCTGGAATTTTATTTCTCATTTTGTCTGTCATAGTTGACGTGTACCTATGATGAAAATTACAGGCCTCTCTCATCTTTTTAAGTGGGAGAACTTGCACAATTGGTGGCTGACTAAATACTTTTTTTCCCCACTGTATACAGTGAAGAGAACAAGTATTTGATACACTGTTGATTTTGAAGGTTTTCCTACTTACAAAGCATGTAGAGGTCTGTAATTTTTCTTCTTCTGTAACTCTCAACTGTGAGAGACGGAATCTAAAACAACAATCCAGAAAATCACATTGTATGATTTTTAAGTAATTAATTTGCATTTTATTGCATGACATAAGTATTTGATCACCTACCAACCAGTAAGAATTCCGGCTCTCACAGACCTGTTAGTTTTTCTTTAAGAAGCCCTCCTGTTCTCCACTCATTGCCTGTATTAACTGCACCTGTTTGAACTCGTTATCTGTATAAAAGACACCTGTCCACACACTCAATCAAACAGACTCCAACCTCTCCACAATGGCCAAGACCAGAGAGCTGTGTAAGGACATCAGGGATAAAATTGTAGACCTGCACAAGGCTGGGATGGGCTACAGGACAATAGGCAAGCAGCTTGGTGAGAAGGCAACAACTGTTGGCGCAATTATTAGAAAATGGAAGAAGTTCAAGATGACGGTCAATCACCCTCGGTCTGGGGCTCCATGCAAGATCTCACCTCGTGGGGCATCAATGATCATGAGGAAGGTGAGGGATCAGCCCAGAACTACACGGCAGGACCTGGTCAATGACCTGAAGAGAGCTGGGACCACAGTCTCAAAGAAAACCATTAGTAACACACTACGCCGTCATGGATTAAAATCCTGCAGCGCACGCAAGGTCCCCCTGCTCAAGCCAGCGCATGTCTAGACCCATCTGAAGTTTGCCAATGACCATCTGGATGATCCAGAGGAGGAATGGGAGAAGGTCATGTGGTCTGATGAGACAAAAATAGAGCTTTTTGGTCTAAACTCCACTCGCCGTGTTTGGAGGAAGAAGAAGGATGAGTACAACCCCAAGAACACGATCCCAACCGTGAAGCATGGAGGTGGAAACATCATTCTTTGGGGATGCTTTTCTGCAAAGGGGACAGGACGACTGCACCGTATTGAGGGGAGGATGGATGGGGCCATGTATTGCGAGATCTTGGCCAACAACCTCCTTCCCTCAGTAAGAGCATTGAAGATGGGTCGTGGCTGGGTCTTCCAGCATGACAACGACCCGAAACACACAGCCAGGGCAACTAAGGAGTGGCTCCGTAAGAAGCATCTCAAGGTCCTGGAGTGGCCTAGCCAGTCTCCAGACCTAAACCCAATAGAAAATCTTTGGAGGGAGCTGAAAGTCCGTATTGCCCAGCGACAGCCCCGAAACCTGAAGGATCTGGAGAAGGTCTGTATGGAGGAGTGGGCCAAAATCCCTGCTGCAGTGTGTCCAAACCTGTTCAAGACCTACAGGAAACGTATGATCTCTGTAATTGCAAACAAAGGTTTCTGTACCAAATATTAAGTTCTGCTTTTCTGATGTATCAAATAATTATGTCATACAATAAAATGCAAATGTATTACTTAAAAATCATACAATGTGATTTTCTGGATTTTTGTTTTAGATTCCGTCTCTCACAGTTGAAGTGTACCTATGATAAAAATTACAGACCTCTACATGCTTTGTAAGTAGGAAAACCTGCAAAATCGGCAGTGTATCAAATACTTGTTCTCCCCACTGTATATATATATACTACCAGTCAAAAGTTTGGACACACCTACTCATTCAAGAGTTTCTTTATTTTTTTACTATTTTTTACATTGTAGAATAATAGTGAAGACATCAAAACATTCCAGGTGACTACCTAATGAAGCTGTTTGAGAGAATGCCAAGAGTGTGCAAAGCTGTCATCAAGGCAAAGGGTGGCTATTTGAATAATCTCAAATATAAAATATTTAGATTTGTTTAACACTTTTTTTGGTTAGTACATGATTCCATATGTGTTATTTCATAGTATTCCAATTAACAGGTGTGCCTTCTTAAAAGTTAATTTGTGGAATTTCTTTCCTTCTTAATGTGTTTGAGTCAATCAGTTGTGTTGTGACAAGGTAGGGGGGGTATACAGAAGATAGCCCTATTTGGTAAAAGACCAAGTCCATATTATGGCAAGAACAGCTCAAATAAGCAAAGAGAAACGACAGTCCATCATTACTTTAAGATATGAAGGTCAGTCAATACGGAACATTTCAATATCTTTTAAAGTTTCTTCAAGTGCAGTCGCAAAAACCATAAAGCGCTATGATGAAACTGGCTCTCATGAGGACCACCACAGGAATGGAAGACCCAGAGTTACCTCTGCTGCAGAGGATAAGTTCATAAGAGTTACCAGCTTCAGAAATTGCAGCCCAAAAAAATGCTTCACAGAGTCACAGACCCATCTCAACATCAACTGTTCAGAGGGGACTGTGTGAATCAGGCCTTCATGGTCGAATTGCTGCAAAGAAACCACTACTAAAGGACAGCAATAAGAAGAAGAGACCTGCTTGGCCAAAGAAACACGAGCAATGGACATTAGACCGGTGGACATTTTTGGTTCCAGCTGCCGTGTCTTTGTGAGACGCGGTGTGGGTGAACAGATGATCTCCGCATATGTAGTTCCCACCGTAAAGCATGGAGGAGGAGGTGTTATGGTGTGGGGCTGCTTTGTTGGTGACACTGTCTGTGATTTATTTAGAATTCAAGGCACACTTAACCAGCATGGCTACCACAGCATTCTGCAGCAATATGCCATCTGGTTTGGGCTTAGTGGGACTTTTTTGGTTACGAAATGATTCCATATGTGTTATTTAATATTTTTCATGTCTTCACTATTATTCTGCAATGTAGAAAATAGTAAAAATAAAGAAAAACCCTTGAATGAGTAGGTGTGTCCAAACTTTTGACTGGTACTGTATACAGTGAGGGAAAAAAGTATTTGATCTCCTGCTGATTTTGTACGTTTGCCCACATACAAAGACATGATCAGTCTATAATTTTAATGGTAGGTTTATTTGAACAGTGAGAGACAGAATAACAACAACAAATTCCAGAAAAACGCATGTCAAAAATTTTATAAATTGATTTGCATTTTAATGAGGAAAATAAGTATTTTACCCCTCTGCAAAACATTACTTAGTACTTGGTGGAAAAACCCTTGTTGGCACAGAGGTCAGCCGTTTCTTGTAGTTGGCCACCAGGTTTGCACACATCTCAGGAGGGATTTTGTCCCACTCCTCTTTGCAGATCTTCTCCAAGTCATTAAGGTTTCGAGGCTGACGTTTGGCAACTCAAACCTTCAGCTCCCTCCACATATTTTCTATGGGATTAAGGTCTGGAGATTGGCAAGGCCACTCCAGGAACTTAATGTGCTTCTTCTTGAGCCACTCCTTTGTTGCCTTGGCCGTGTGTTTTGGGTCATTGTCATGCTGGAATACCCATCCACGACCCATTTTCAATGCCCTGGCTGAGGGAAGGAGGTTCTCACACAAGATTTGATGGTACATGGCCCCGTCCATCGTCCCTTTGATGCTGTGAAGTTGTCCTGTCCCCTTAGCAGAAAAACAACCCCAAAGCATAATGTTTCCACCTCCATGTTTGACGGTGGGGATGGTGTTCTTGGGGTCATAGGCAGCATTCCTCCTCCTCCAAACACGGCGAGTTGAGTTGATGCCAAAGAGCTCGATTTTGGTCTCATCTGACCACAACACTTTCACCCAGTTCTCCTCTGAATCATTCAGATGTTCATTGGCAAACTTCAGACGGCCCTGTATATGTGCTTTCTTGAGCAGGGGGACCTTGCGGGCGCTGCAGGATTTCAGTCCTTCACGGCGTAGTGCGTTACCAATTGTTTTTATTGGTGACTATGGTCCCAGCTGCCTTGAGATCATTGACAAGATCCTCCTGTGTAGTTCTGTGCTGATTCCTCACCGTTCTCATGATCATTGCAACTCCACGAGGTGAGATCTTGCATGGAGCCCCAGGCCGAGGGAGATTGACAGTTCTTTTGTGTTTCTTCCATTTGCGAATAATCGCACCAACTGTTGTCACCTTCTCACCAAGCTGCTTGGCGATGGTCTTGTAGCCCATTCCAGCCTTGTGTAGGTCTACAATCTTGTCCCTGACATCCTTGGAGAGCTCTTTGGTCTTGGCCATGGTGGAGAGTTTGGAATCTGATTGATTGATTGCTTCTGTGGACAGGTGTCTTTTATACAGGTAACAAACTGAGATTAGGAGCACTCCCTTTAAGAGTGTGCTCCTAATCTCAGCTCGTTACCTGTATAAAAGACACCTGGGATCCAGAAATCTTTCTGATTGAGAGGGGTCAAATACTTATTTCCCTCATTAAAATGCAAATCAATTTATAACATTTTTGAAATGCGTTTTTCTGGATTTTTGTTGTTGTTATTCTGTCTCTCACTGTTCAAATAAACCTACCATTAAAATTATAGACTGATCATTTCTTTGTCAGTGGGCAAACATACAAAATCAGCAGGGGATCAAATACTTTTTTCCTTCACTGTATATACACTACCGGTCAAAATTTTTAGAACACCTACTCATTCAAGGTTTTTTTGTTATTTTCTACATTGTACAATAATAGTGAAGACATCAAAACTATTAAATAACACATATGGAATCATGTAGTAACACAAAGTGTTAAACAAATCAAAAGATAATGTTATATTTGAGATTCTTTCAAGTAGCCACCCTTTGCCTTGATTACAGCTTTGCACACTCTTGGCATTCTCTCAACCAGCTTCATGAGGTAGTCACCTGGAATGCATTTCAATTAACAGGTGTGCCTTCTTAAAAGTTTAATTTGTGGAATTTCTTTCCTTCTTAATGCATTTGAGCCAATCAGTTGTGTTGTTACAAGGTAGGGGGGTATACAGAAGATAGCCCTATTTGGTAAAAGACCAAGTCCATATTATGGCAAGAACAGCTCAAATAAGCAAAGAGAAACGACAGTCCATCATTACTTTAAGACATGAAGGTCAGTCAATACGGAACATTTCAAGAACTCTTCAAGTGTAGTCGCAAAAACCATCAAGCGCTATGATGAAACGGGCTCTCATGAGTACCACCTCAGGAATGGAAGACCCAAAGTTACCTCTGCTGCAGAGGATAAGTTCATTAGAGTTACCAGCCTCAGAAATTGCAGCCCAAATAAATGCTTCACAAAGTTCAAGTCACAGACACATCTCAACATCAACTGTTCAGAGGGGACTGTGTGAATCAGGCCTTCATGGTCAAATTGCTGCAAAGAAACCCCTACTAAAGGACACCAATAAGAAGAAGACACCTGCTTGGGCCAAGAAACACGAGCAATGGACATTAGACAGGAGGAAATTTGTCCTTAGGTCTGGAGTCCAAATTTGAGATTTCTGGTTCAAACTGCCGTCTCTTTGTGAGACGCTGTGTGGGTGAACGGATGATATCCGCATGTGTAGTTCCCACCGTAAAGCATGGAGGAGGAGATGTGATGGTGTGGGGGTGCTTTGCTGGTGACACTGTCTGTGATCTATTTAGAATTCAAGGCACACGTAACCAGCATGGCTACCAAAGCATTCTGCAGCGATACGCCATTCCATCTGGTTTGGGCTTAATGGGACTATCATTTGTTTTTCAACAGGACAACGAACCAACACACCTCCAGGATGTGTAAGGGCTATTTAAACAAGAAGGAGAGTGATGGAGTGCTGCATCAGATGACCTGGCCTCCACAATCTCCCGACCTCAACCCAATTGAGATGGTTTGGGATGAGTCGGACGGCAGAGTGAAGGAAAAGCAGCCAACAAGTGCTAAGCAGATTTGTTTAACACTTTTTGGTTACTACATGATTCCATATGTGTTATTTAATAGTTTTGATGTCTTCACTATTATTCTACAAAGTAGAAAATAGCAAAAATAAAGATAAACCCTTGAATTAGTAGGTGTCTAAAACTTTTGACCGGTAGTATATACAGTGGGGAAAAAAAGTATTTAGTCAGCCACCAATTGTGCAAGTTCTCCCACTTAAAAAGATGAGAGAGGCCTGTAATTTTCATCATAGTACACGTCAACTATGACAGACAAATTGAGGAAAAGAAATCCAGAAAATCACATTGTAGGATTTTTAATGAATTTATTTGCAAATTATGGTGGAAAATAAGTATTTGGTCACCTACAAACAAGCAAGATTTCTGGCTCTCACAGACCTGTAACAACTTCTTTAAGAGGCTCCTCTGTCCTCCACTCGTTACCTGTATTAATGGCACCTGTTTGAACTTGTTATCAGTATAAAAGACACCTGTCCACAACCTCAAACAGTCACACTCCAAACTCCACTATGGCCAAGACCAAAGAGCTGTCAAAGGACACCAGAAACAAAATTGTAGACCTGCACCAGGCTGGGAAGACTGAATCTGCAATAGGTAAGCAGCTTGGTTTGAAGAAATGAACTGCGGGATGAATTATTAGGAAATGGAAGACATACAAGACCACTGATAATCTCCCTCGATCTGGGGCTCCACGCAAGATCTCACCCCGTGGGGTCAAAATGATCACAAGAACGGTGAACAAAAATCCCAGAACCACACGGGGGGACCTAGTGAATGACCTGCAGAGAGCTGGGACCAAAGTAACAAAGCCTACCATCAGTAACACACTACGCCGCCAGGGACTCAAATCCTGCAGTGCCAGACGTGTCCCCCTGCTTAAGCCAGTACATGTCCAGGCCCGTCTGAAGTTTGCTAGAGTGCATTTGGATGATCCAGAAGAGGATTGGGAGAATGTCATATGGTCAGATGTGTCTCCCGAGTGGCGCAGTGGTCTAAGGCACTGCATCGCAGTGCTAGCTGTGTCACTAGAGATCCTGGTTCGAATCCAGGCTCTGTCGTAGCCGGCCGCGACCGGGAGACCCATGGGGTGGCGCACAATTGGCCCAGGGTAGGGGAGGGAATGGCCGGCAGGGATGTAGCTCAGTTGGTAGAGCATGGCGTTTGCAATGCCAGGGTTGTGGGTTCGATTCCCACGGGGGGTATAAAAAATAATGTATGCACTAACTGTAAGTCGCTCTGGATAAGAGCGTCTGCTAAATGACTAAAATGTAATGAAACCAAAATAGAACTTTTTGGTAAAAACTCAACTCGTCGTGTTTGGAGGACAAAGAATGCTGAGTTGCATCCAAAGAACACCATACCTACTGTGAAGCATGGGGGTGGAAACATCATGCTTTGGGGCTGTTTTTCTGCAAAGGGACTACGACGACTGATCCGTGTAAAGGAAAGAATGAATGGGGCCACGTATCGTGAGATTTTGAGTGAAAACCTCCTTCCATCAGCAAGGGCATTGAAGATGAAACATGGCTGGGTCTTTCAGCATGACAATGATCCCAAACACACCGCCCGGGCAACGAAGGAGTGGCTTCATAAGAAGCATTTCAAGGTCCTGGAGTGGCCTAGCCAGTCTCCAGATCTCAACCCCATAGAAAATCTTTGGAGGGAGTTGAAAGTCCGTGTTGCCCAGCGACAGCCCCAAAACATCACTGCTCTAGAGGAGATCTGCATGGAGGAATGGGCCAAAATACCAGCAACAGTGTGTGAAAACCTTGTGAAGACTTACAGAAAACATTTGACCTGTGTCATTGCCAACAAAGGGTATATAACAAAGTATTGAGAAACTTTTGTTATTGACCAAATACTTATTTTCCACCATAATTTGCAAATCAATTCATTAAAAATCCTACATTGTGATTTTCTGAAATGTTTCTTCTCATTTTGTCTGTCATAGTTGACGTGTACCTATGATGAATATTACAGGCCTCTTTCATCTTTTTAAGTGGGAGAACTTGCACAATTGGTGGCTGACTAAATACTTTTTCCCCCCCCACTGTGTGTGTATATATATATATATATATATATATATATATATATATATATATATATATATATATATACACACAGTGCTTTCGGAAAGTATTCAGACCCCCCTTATTCTAAAATTGATTAAATAAAAATAAATCCTTATCAATCTACACACAATTCCCCATAATGACAAAGTGAAAACAGGTCTTTAGAAATATTTGCAAATTTATAAAAAATTTAAAACAGAAATACCTTATTTACATAAGTGTTCAGACCCTTTGCTATGAGACTCGAAATTGAGCTCAGGTGCATCCTGTTTCCGTTGATCATCATTGAGATGTTTCTACAACTTGATTGGAGTCCACCCGTGTTCAATTCAATTGATTGGACATGATTTGGAAAGGCACACACCTGTCTGTATAAGGTCCCGCAGTTGACAGTGCATATCAGAGCAAAAACCAAGCCATGAGGTCGAAGGAATTGTCCGTAGCGCTCCAAGGCGGGATTGTGTCGAGGCACAGATCTGGGGAAGGGTACCAAAAAATGTTTGCAGCCTTGAAGATCCCCAAGAACACAGTGGCCTCCATCATTCTTAAATGGAACAAGTTTGGAACCACCAAGACTCTTCCTAGAGCTGGCTGCCCGGCCAAACTGAGCAATTGGGGGAGAATTACCTTGGTCAGGTAGGTGGCCAAGAACCAGAGTTCCTCTGTGGAGATGGGAGAACCTTCCAGAAGGACAACCATCTCTGCAGCACTCCACCAATCAAGCCTTTATGGTAGAGTGGCCAGACGGAAGCCACTCCTCACTAAGAAGCACATGACAGCTCTCTTGGAGTTTGCCAAAAGGCACCTAAAGGACTCTCAGTCCATGAGAAACAAGATTCTCTGGTCTGAAGAAACCAAGATTCAACTCTTTGGCCTGAATGCCAAGCGTCACGTCTGGAGGAAACCTGGCACCATACCTACGGTGAAGCATGGGTGGTGGCAGCATCATGCTGTGGGGATGTTTTTCAGTGGCAGGGACTGGGAGACTAGTCAGGATCGAGGGAAAGATGAATGGAACAAAATACAGAGAGATCCTTGATGAAAACCTGCTCCAGAGCGCTCAGGACCTCAGACTGGGGCGAAGGTTCACCTTCCAACAGGACAACGACCCTAAGCACACAGCCAAGTCAACACAGGAGTGGCTTCGGGACAAGTCTCTGAATGTCCTTGAGTGGCCTAGCCAGAGCCCGGACTTCAACACGATCTAACATCTCTGGAGAGACCTGAAAATAGCTGTGTGGTGATGCTCCCCATTCAACCTGACAGAGCTTGAGAGGATCTGCAGAGAAGAATGAAAGAAACTCCCTAAATACAGGTGTGCCAAGCTTGTAGCGTCATACCCAAGAAGACTTGAGGCTGTAATCGCTGCCAGGCGCTTCAACAAAGTACTGAGTAAAGGGTCTGAATACTTATGTAAATGTAATATTTCAGTTTTGTATTTGTAATACATTTGCAAAAAATTATTGCTTCGTCGTTATTGGGTATTGTGTGTAGATTGATGAGGGGGAAAAACGATTTAATCAATTTCAGAATAAGGCTGTAATGTAACAAAATGTGGAAAAAGTCAAGGGGTCTGAATACTTTCCGAATGCACTTTGTGGTTGTTCTATGTTTAGCTACAGCTAATTATTTGACTAGGGTTGTAAAGCTACTGGTAATTTACCAAAGTTACTGGAATAATGGTAATTAACAGGTAATCAATGGCAATCTATGGTAATTTTGGTCATTTATACTTAAAAAAATAATCATATATAGTATTCATTTTTTTATATCTGTGTCCAACTGTCTATATTATCTATGAGTTTCTAGTACATAGACCATATGGTTAAAGAGAAAATAGCCTAATTAATGAAAAAAGCATCTAATCAACAATGGCATTATTTTCAATTAACTCTGCAACTCTTCCAACTCTCAAACTGTCACCAGTTTGGCCCCAAAACATTTACAAGACATATTGACATAGTAACAAAAGTGTGTAAAAAACAATAGAAGTGTGCTGAAACCCTCATATTAAACAGGATAATGTTTTACAGCTTTATTTTTTTATTTTATTTTTTTTCTTATTTTACATGTGATAAGGCCACACAGACGGCCAGAGATAATTACAGACACCTCTGATCATCTAAAGTACCAAAAAAAAACATTAGATATAATCTTATCAAGTTCTATATATTCCTTTAAAGTTAAAAAAAATTCTGGTCGTTTACTGGTAAACTTCAAAAGTTTCCAGTAATATACCCTCCCTTTGCAAGCTTTGACACTTCAGTTCTTTTTAGGTGCACTTTACCTGTTCTGCAGCAGATAAGATTAGCGCTCTATGCTCTCATGCGTTACTTAGGGAACCTGAGTATGGTGCAAATTCTAAAATAGCTGACTCAGTCTATGTCAATGGACAACACGAAACACTACGGCTAAAGACAGTTGATAAGATGCTTCACTCACACATTTCAATGGGTTGGGTCAAAGGTAGCAAATAAAGCATCTACAGCTTCTCTATAAGGCACAGTTACCTGTCCCTTATCATAATAATTGTAGCAAATAAGGACTTTCTTCAGGGTGTCTTATAAGATTGGATACCTGTCCATCAAACACTCTGTCTGTAAGCTGCCTGGAGGTGTGTTGAGGATATCTATTACACTGTCATCCATTGGGTTTGTGCTGTGCAAATGAACTCCACACCAATGTAACACAAAGAGGCTGATACTGTTTACATTCAGTCCGTTTGTGATGGATGGGATGACGCTTCAAACACTGACCGTATTCACCTGTGAATCACAACAGCTGTCCATATGAAGTGGATTGAAAACATATACATATTTAGGAAATAACATTCAATAACAATGGATGTATGTGCAAGGGAGACCAAATGCATGATAAAAAAACAGACCCCTTGAACCCCATATTCATTTCTTCCCAGAGAGAGGAACTCCGGTGGAGATCTGAAGGGGCCAGATGAAAGCAATTCCTGCTCGCTGTGGGATGAGGGCAGAGAGGGATGCTGGGTAATGGAACAGGTGTACAGTAGTGGGGAGGAGGGCGAGGGGGAGCCAAATATCAGATGCACAGTGACCTTTTCAGAACGGCATGTGGGCAGCGGGGAGTCTCCTCTCCTTCCTGTCTTTTAAAGACTGTTTTAAATATCATAGTACATTTAATGTAAAGCGTCATTCAAGGGTATCAGGTATACAAATAGTTTTTGTATACACCATACTTGTTTGTAGTAGACCTATGTAGTGTAGTATGTGTCACGATCGTCTAAAACAGGAGACCAAGGCGCAGCGTTGCGAGTGAACATAGTATATTTATTAAACGCTCACACGAGCAAAACAACTAAACAACGAATCCGTGACGTCTGTGGTACAACACGCACACACACGAACAAAAACCCACAACACCCACAGGAAAACATACAGATTAAATATGGCTCCCAATCAGAGATAACGAGCCGACAGCTGACACTCGTTACCTCCGATTGGGAGTCACTGAACCAAACAAAGATATACAACACATAGAACTACCCAACCAAACAAAACACCACGAAACGAACACACCCTGGCTCAACACACAAAGTCCCGGAGCCAGAGTGTGACAGTACCCCCCCCCTAAAGGCGCGGACTGCGACCGCGCCTCAACTAGGGCTAACCAAGGGAGGGCTGGGTGGGCATACCTCTTCGGCGGTGGTTCTGGCTCTGGTCGTGGTCCCCACCCCACCATAGTCACTACCCGCTTCCGTAGCCTCCTCCAACTGACCACCCTCCAACTTACCCCCACCGGATTAAGGGGCAGCACCGGACTAAGAGGCAGCACCGGACTAAGGGGCAGCACCGGACTAAGGGGCAGCACCGGACTGAATGGCGGATCCGGGCTGGCTGGCGGACCCCGGCTGGATGGCTCATGGCTGGCTGACGGATCTGGCTGCTCATGGCTGGCTGACGGATCTGGCTGCTCATGGCTGGCTGACGGATCTGGCTGCTCATGGCTGGCTGACGGATCTGGCTGCTCATGGCAGGCTGACGGATCTGGCTGCTCATGGCTGGCCGACGAATCTGGCTGCTCATGGCAGGCTGACGGATCTGGCTGCTCATGGCTGGCGGAAGGCTCTGGCTGCTCATGGCAGGCTGACGGATCTGGCTGCTCATGGCTGGCGGAAGGCTCTGGCTGATCCTGTCTGGCGGAAGGCTCTGGCTGATCCTGTCTGGCGGAAGGCTCTGGCTGATCCTGTCTGGCGGAAGGCTCTGGCTGATCCTGTCTGGCGGAAGGCTCTGGCTGATCCTGTCTGGCGGAAGGCTCTGGCTGATCCTGTCTGGCGGAAGGCTCTGGCTGATCCTGTCTGGCGGAAGGCTCTAGCGGCTCCTGTCTGGCGGAAGGCTTTAGCGGCTCCGGTCTGGCGGACGGCTCTGAAGGCTCATGGCAGACGGGCGGCTTTGCAGGCTCAGTACAGACGGGCAGTTCATGCAGCGCTTGGCAGACGGACAGTTCAGACGGCGTTGGGCAGACAGGCAGTTCAGGCGCCGTTGGGCAGACGGGCAGTTCAGGCGCCGTTGGGCAGACGGGCAGTTCAGGCGCCGTTGGGCAGACGGCAGACTCTGGCCGGCCGAGACGCACTATAGGCCTGGTGCGTGGTGCCGGAACTGGTGGTCCCGGGCTGAGGACACGCATCTCAGGGCTAGTGCGGGGAGCAGCAACAGGACGCACAGGACTCTGGGGACACACAGGAGGCTTGGTGCGTGGTGTAGGCACTGGTGGTACTGGGCTGGAGCGGGGAGGTGGCGCCGGAAATACCGGACCGTGCAGGCTTACTGGCTCCCTTGAGCACTGAGCCTGCCCAACCTTACCTGGTTGTATGCTCCCCGTCGCCCGACCAGTACGGGAAGGAGGAATAACCCGCACCGGGCTATGTAGGCGAACCGGGGACACCATGCGTAAGGCTGGTGCCATGTAAGCCGGCCCGAGGAGACGCACTGGTGGCCTGATGCGTTGGACCGGCTTCATGACATCCGGCTCAACGCTCAATCTAGCCCGGCCGATACGTGGAGCTGGAATGTACCGAACCGGGCTATGCACGCGTACAGGAGACACCATGCGCTCAACTGCGTAACACGGTGTCTGCCCGTACTCTCGCTCTCCACGGTAAGTACAGGGGGTAGGCGCAGGTCTCCTACCTGACTTCGCCACACTCCCTTTAAGGCCCCCCCCAAGACATTTTTGGCTAGTGCTCACGGGCTTCCAGCCTTGCCTCTGTGCTGCCTCCTCATATTGCCTCCTCTCGGCTTTAGCTGCCTCCAGCTCTTCACGAGGGCGGCGATATTCTCCCGGTTGTGCCCAAGGACCCCTTCCATCCAGTATCTCCTCCCATGTCCATGAATCCTGTGTAGGTGGATCCTGTTGCCGCTTGACACGCCGCTTGGTCCTAGAATGGTGGGTTTTTCTGTCACGATCGTCCAATGAGGGAGACCAAAGCGCAGCGCGTTGAGCGAACATGACTTTATTATATTAAAGTATAGAACACCAAAACAACAAACAATGACGATACGTGAAGTCCACAGTGACAAAGACTGATACGGAACAAAAACCCACAACCCCAAGGTGAAAACACACAGTATAAATATGGCTCCCAATCAGAGATAACGAGCCGACAGCTGACACTCGTTACCTCCGATTGGGAGTCATTGACCAAACATAGAAATAAACCCAACAGAAATACAAACATAGAAAATGAACACATAGAATGCACACACCCTGGCTCAACATCATGAGTCCCAGAACCAGGGTGTGACAGTATGACAATGTCATCCATTAAACACTTACCAATGTCATCCTGTTGAACTTTGTAGGAACATAGACTGTTTTCTGGGTAACTGTCTCAACTCAAATGTTTTGTGTTACAGAAAAATTGACGGGACCAATGCGGACGAGGAGGACCAGATGGAGCTCACGGAGGACGGGCAACCGGTGGCGGCGGCCCCTCGCCACAGTGCCCCTCTGTTTGACTGCGGTTGCTGCGGCCTGCCCAAGCGCTACATCATTGCCATTCTTAGCGGACTGGGCTTCTGCATCTCCTTTGGCATCCGCTGCAATCTTGGGGTGGCCATTGTGGAGATGGTCAACAACAACACAGTCTACATCAACGGGACACCTGTACTCCAGGTGAGAGAGAAAGAAGGAAATCACTGACATAAAAAATAATCCATATAGGCCTCCCGAGTGGTGCAGCGGTCTAAGGCATCACTACAGACCCTGGTTCGATCCCAGGCTGTATCACAGCCGGCTGTGACCGGGAGACCCATGAGGTTGCGTACAATTGGCCCAGCGTCGTGAGGGTTTGGCAGGCCATGATTTCCTTGTCCCATCGCGCTCTAGCAACTCCTTGTGCCGGGCTCCTGCAAGCTGACTTTGTTCGCCAGTTGGACGGTGTTTCCTCCAACACATTGGTGTGGCTGGTTAAGCGAGCAGTGTGTCAGGAAGCAGTGCAGCTTGGCAGGGTCGTGTTTCGGAGGACGCATGACTTTCGACCTTCGCCTCTCCTGAGTCCGTAGGGGAGTTGCAGAGCCTATTTACAAAGTTCAGACTTCAATATTCAAAAGAAAATAACCTTCAACCAGGCTTGAATGCAGCAACACATCACACCGCTGCCTTTAAATGTCATTGACATTTCACCAAACTCCTACATTCCAATCATACATGGTTATCTTGTAAAAAATATTGAAACATATTAAAACATTTTGTCACTGAAGGTCTGGACACAAGACAGATTGTTAGGGGGGCATCAAACATTTCGGGGAAATACAGACTCAAAAGAAAGGAACAATTTCTTGAGCGAAATAAAAAAACGTCTTCCTCATGAATGTAGCGAAAAACTGCAGCTCCGATTATCAAACGGTAAATAAATGCAACAATATATATATTTTTTTGTTGTCACATACATCGGATTGATGCAATGAAATGTTTTGTTTCACAGGGTCATCCATAGTAGTACGGCACCCCTGGAGCAAATTAGGGTTAAGTGCCTTGCTCAAGAGTACAATGACAGATCTTGCACCTTGTCAGCTCGTGTATTCAAACCAGCGACATTTAGGTTACTGGCCCAATGCTCTAACTGCTTGGCTACCTGCAGCTTCATAATGAAACAGATAGGGCACATACTAGTTGAATCAACATTGTTTCCACGTCATTTCAATGAAATTACGTTGAAGCAACGTGGAATAGATGTTGAATTGACATCTGTGCCCAGTGGGTGGCTATGTCTACAATGTTGCAAAAAACGGTAATGGAATGAAATATTGTAACGATAGCGATTATTGTAAGATTATATTGAATATACAGTTGAAGTCGGAAGTTTACATACACTTAGGTTGGAGTCATTAAAACTTGTTTTTCAACCACTCCACAAATTTCTTGTTAACAAACTATTGTTTTGGCAAGTCGGTTAGGACATCTACTTTGTGCATGACACAAGTAATCTTTCCAACAATTGTTTACAGACAGATTATTTCACTTATAATTCACTGTATCACAATTCCAGTGGGTCAGACGTTTACATGCACTAAGTTGACTGTGCCTTTAAACAGCTTGGAAAATTCCAGAAAATGATGTCATGACTTTAGAAGCTTCTGATAGGCTAATTGACATAATTTGAGTCAATTGGAGGTGGACCTGTGGATGTATTTCAAGGCCTACCTTTAAACTCAGTGCCTCTTTGCTTGACATCATGGGAAAATCAAAAGAAATCAGCCAAGACCTCAGAAAAAGAATTGTAGACCTCCTCAAGTCTGGTTCATCCTTGGGAGCAATTCTCAGATGCCTGAAGGTACCACGTTCATCTGTACAAACAAAAGTATGCAAGTATAAGCACCATGGGACCATGCAGCCGTCATACCGCTCAGGAAGGAGAAGCGTTCTGTCTCCTAGAGATGAACATACTTTGGTGCGAAAAGTGCAAATCAATCCCAGAACAACAGCAAAGACATTGTGAAGATGCTGGAGGAAGCCGGTACAAAAGTATCTATATCCACAGTAAAACAAATCCTATTTCGACATAACCCGAAAGGCCGCTCATCAAGGAAGAAGCCACTGCTCAAAAACCGCCATAAAAAAGCCAGACTACGGTTTGCAACTGCACATGGGGACAAAGATCGTATTTTTTGGAGAAATATCCTCTGGTCTGATGAAACAAAAATAGAACTGTTTGGCCATAATGACCATTGTTATGTTTGGAGGAAAAACGGGGTTGCTTGCAAGCCAAAGAAAACCATCCCAACCGTGAAGCACGGGGGTGCTTTGCTGCAGGAGGGACTGGTGCACTACACAAAATAGATGGCATCATGAGGAAGGAAAATTATGTGGATATATTGAAGCAACATCTCAAGACATCAGTCAGGAAGTTAAAGCTTGGTCGCAAATGGGTCTTCCAAATGGACAATGACCCCAAGCATACTTCCAAAGTTGTGGCAAAATGGCTTAAGGACAACAAAGTCAAGGTATTGGAGTGGCCATCACAAGGCCCTGACCTCAATCCTATAGAACATTTGTGGGCAGAACTGAAAAAGTGTGTGAGAGCAAGGAGGCCTACAAACCTGACACAGTTACACCAGCTCTGTCAGGAGGAATGGGCCAACATTCACCCAACTTATTGTGGGAAGCTTGTGGAAGGCTACCCGAAACGTTTCACCCAAGTTAAACAATTTAAAGGCAATGCTACCAAATACTAATTGAGTGTATGTAAACTTCTGACCCACTGGGAATGTGATGAAAGAAATAAAAGCTGAAATAAATCACTCTCTACTATTATTCTGACATTTCACATTCTTAAAATAAAGTGGTGATCCTAACTGACCTAAAACAGGGAATTTTTACTAGGATTAAATGTCAGGAATTGTGAAAAACTGAGTTTAAATGTGTTTCACTAAGGTGTATGTAAACTTCCGACTTCTACTGTAGATTTAAGAAATAGGCTGTTTAACTTGAGAAAACATCAAAACACACACACACACACACACACTTTTTATGTGAAATAACTCATAACCAGTTAAATACCCTATATTATATTACTCTGTTCCCCAGCCAGCTCAATTCAACTGGGACCCAGAGACTGTGGGACTGATCCATGGCTCCTTCTTCTGGGGTTACATCGTCACACAGATCCCTGGAGGCTTCATCTCCAACAAGCTGGCCGCCAACAGGTTAGGCCTTCCCACTGCTAATGATCTCACTCCTGAAATTAAAGGGATATTTAAGGTATTTTTATATAACTGATTTGTGGGTGGACTAGAGAGGGTTAAATAGGTGACTAGGGTGGGTTTGGAATGGATACTTGTGCTAAGGGCAGGAACAGAGAGATTGGGTGTCTGAAATAGGCAGTCAGTCAATGTGTGTGGTGAGGTTTATAACAGAAAGATAGGGTATTTGGAATTGGTAGTCAGTGTGTGGAGTCAGAGCTATAACAGAAAGGTTTTAGGGGCCTAAGTGAAAAAGGCATGCAGTGTTTGTGTGTGTGGTAAGGGTTAAAGTGGTGTGTGTATGCGTGCACGTGTGTGTGTGTTTGTGTGTGTTAGGTAAGGGTTAAAGCAGCAAGGGGTAATGCTGTCTGGTGTGTGTGTGTGTGTGTGTGTGGGGAGCGTGCAGCTCTGATGGGGCCGATAGCAGTCCTGTAATAAAAGTTTCACAGGAAAAGAGGACACGCCACTGACAGAGTTAGTAATGAAAGATCCTGCCTCTGATTTCTCCCTGAGACGCCAGCCACTGGAATATTACAAGTGTCACTTACACCCGGCTTTGGAAAAAGGGAGGGGTGGAGTGAAGAAAGGGGGGAGCAATGGTGATAAAGCATAATCGTGTGGGATCTCTGTCTGTCCTTCAAAGGCAGAAATATTAGATCTGTCATATTGTGATGTTGGATTGGTCATTTTAAGCTGGCCCCTGCCAGAAGGGTAGGTTAGGGGAGAACTAGTCTTGTAGTGCCAGAGATCACATCGTATTATCCTAGAACGGCTGGAGTCGAGGCTAGGGGAGACCTGGAAGGGACTGACTAGTTCAGGAACATTGATGATTGGTTTTTGAGTTAATGGAGGTAGGCTTGGGTGTTCACATGTTTTCAACTGTGACTGTTTATAACATTTAAGTCTACAGCAGTACAAACCATGACAGTATGTGGTGGGTTGTTGTTGACTTGGTTGTTGTACGTCACACTTGGTCAAGGTTCCATCAAGATTTTATAATGCTCTATGTAGCTGTTATGTCACATTTACAGTATTTTTAGCTCATATGTAATTGTGTATGCATTATTGAAATAACGTGTAATGCTACGCTTTTTTGTCATTTGTTGCTCGCCATTGTTGTCTACAACCTAGTCACACTATAATGTAATGTTTCCACAGAGTGTTTGGGGCGGCCATTTTTCTCACGTCCATACTGAATATGTTCATCCCTTCAGCAGCCAGAAGGCACTACGGCTGTGTCATGTTAGTCCGCATCCTGCAAGGCTTGGTGGAGGTGAGTCATCTTCAGTGTTGCCAGATTTCATTGACACTCTCAGGTCGAATCTAAGCCAAGATCTTGCCAAATCTACTAAATGTAGCCCAATTGAAGGTGTCAACACTAGTCGTCATAATGACTGATCATTTGACCAAGCTCATATACAGTACATACGTATAAAGTACAGGGACACATGTATATCTGTATGTCTTTCCTCAGGTTGATTATTCAGAATAATGATGCCATGTAACGTTTCTTGTACAGGGTGTTACCTACCCTGCATGCCATGGGATGTGGGCCAAATGGGCTCCTCCCCTGGAGAGAAGTCGACTTGCCACCACCTCATTCTGTGGTAAGTGATATGAAAATTGACAAGCTTAATACAGGTACAATGTTTGAGTCAAATAAAGTTAATCAAATTTCTTTCCATTCAATTGTTTTTCTTCCCATCCAATTGAGCTTTATGAAATTGTGCTGATGATTTTCCACAATAGCAAAGCTTCCAAGTGAAAAGATGTGGTAGAAGACAGGAAAACAAAAATGGAATTCATTCAGTAAATCAAATGGATATTCAAAAATACCCTGCCTGCCTTTCTGTTGTACCCATAACCACAGTCAACCCTGTTAGTTTAAAGGCCCAATGCATCCATTTTTATCTCAATATCAAATCATTTCTGAGTAACAAGTAAATACCTTACTGTGATGGTTTTCAATTAAAATGGCAAAAATAAACCAAAATAGATTCTTAGTAAAGAGCAATTTATCAAGCAAGAATTTTGCTAGGACTGTCTGGGAGTGGTCTGAGTGGGGAGGGAAAACTGAAAACTAGCTGTTATTGGCAGAGAGGTTTGGAACTCTCTTATTGGTCTATTAACAAAAAACCTCCATCCTACCAAAACAGGCTGAAATTTCAGGCTGTCTTTTCCAGTGGTGTAAAGTACTTAAGTAAAAATACTTTAAAGTACTACTTAATTAGTTTTTTGGGGTATATGTACTTTACTTTACTATTTTACTTTTACTTCACTACATTCCTAATGAAAATAATGTAGTTTTTACTCTAGACATTTTCCCAGACACCCAAAAGTACTAGTTACATTTTGAATGCTTAGGAACACTGTGTGCCTGGCACCTACTACCATACCCCATTCAAAGGCACTTAAATATTTGTTCTTGCCCATTCACCCTCTGAATGGCACACATGCACAATCCATGTCTCAATTGTCTCAAGACTTAACAATCCTTCTTTAACATGTCTCCTCCACTTCATCTACACCACAGGAGGTTGATGGCACCTTAATTGGTTTTCATGTGTTTGATGCCATTCCATTTACTCCGTTCCAGCCATTATAATGAGCCATCCTCCCCTCAGCAGCCTCCACTGATCTACACTGATAGAAGTGGATTTAACAAGTGACATCAATAAGGGATCATAGCTTTCACCTGGATTCACCTGGTCAGTCTATGTCATGGAAAGAGCATGTTTTGTATACTCAGTGTATATAAAACACAGAAAATCACATTTTTGGCTGCACTGGGCCTTTAAATGAAGCCATTGACTAGATATATCATTGTTCCCTGTCTAGAGATGTTTAGCATTGTGGTAAAATGGCTGAAAATAGGGATGGGGAAGGTTGTTTTGTTTTGCAGATGTCGGCTGTTGTTCCCCATGAAAATGCATTAAAACAGCCATCTTTCACAATAAACTGGTGCCATGACAACCAGCGCTTCCAAACCCTCTTGACATCACATCTGAATGAAAGATTGCCCTCACGCGCTTCACCTGCTCACTCTGAAGGAGGTCCTCTACCATTCAACCCAAATGAAGTGTCATATTGCCTACTGTCCAAAGGCACACTCATGCTCCCAGGCCTATTCAAATCGAGAGTGTTTATAAAGCCATCAGATAATAGAACATCCTCTCCCAAGGACAGTTTCAATGAGTCCTAATTCGTTGAGTCCAATACGGTTGCTGTTGCATGATCTTTACGCTTACCAAGATGATCTATGAGACATGGAATACTTTTCTACAGTCTTAGAAAAAAAGGTGCTATCTATCTATAACCAAAAATTGTTATTTGGCTGTCCTCATAGGAGGACCCTTTGAAGAACCCCTTTTGGTTCCAGGTAGAACAATTTTGCTTCTAGATAGAACCCTTTTGGGTTCCATGTAGAACCCTTTCCACAGGGTTCTACATGGAACCCAAAGGAGTTCTACCTGGAACCAAAAAGGGTTCTCCAATGGGGACAGCCACATAACACTTTTGGAACCCTTTTTTCTAAGAGTGTAGTCTTGTGTTGAAGAAGAGTTACTGAGAGGCTGCAGACTGATGATAATCTAATAGTTTGGATCGTTGTGATACCTTGGCATCACTACTTAATAATGTTATTGGGGTTTCCTTTAGATGGAGCCCCATTACACACCAGACAGAACAGAACTACAACAGTGGCATGGTCATATTTCCCTTTTCCTTGTTTCCAGGTTCCTATGCAGGTGCTGTGATTGCCATGCCTTTAGCAGGAGTCCTGGTTCAGTTCGTTGGATGGCCCTCAGTCTTCTATATCTATGGTAATATTTAAAAAATCAATATTAAGGCAAATTGTTCAATTGAACCCATGTGAATTGTATAGCTGTGATTTACAATTCTTTCATACAGGTATGCAGATCAAGGATTTCATAATTATTGAGTTTGGGTAGGGAAAACCATTGAAATGCATGCACTGAAATTCAGATACTCTAAATGGCTGACACTACCAAAGATACTGATCTTTGTAAGACAGGGAGATGTCTATGATCTAACTAGCGATAGGGGGAAAACTGTGTCTTGAGTTGATAAATGTCTATCCAATCTGAAATTACTTACAGTATATGACTTCAGAACAGCTTTCACAAGACCAGGCCTAACTATGATAAAGTATGTGGGTGATTCCCATTTGATCAGCAGTCCATGTATTACACTAGGTGTCACTTGTGTGACATGCAACGCACCATGGTCATTATATCATCAGTCTTACACCAGTCTCAGGTTGTTCTCTAATGTTTTGCTTAATCTGTTTTGTCAATTTTATCTGAACTGTTATTTGATTAAGATATATTCACAATGTCATAAGACTCTTTGTGCCTGCTGCATTTCAATATAACTTCTTTAGCTCTGTTGTGATCTAATCACATGATTAATTGACTGAAATTAATGTTTTCTTGTCTGGGATTGCTACCTAATTAATCTTTCATTTTGTTTGAATAATGAAAAATCATTGAGGTCTAGAATAGGTCAAGGCCCAGTTCTAATTAGTTTGCCATATCACTTACATAGAGATGGATAGAGGGCACACTTGTCACGATGCCTGTTTAGCATGGGCAACACCACTGAAGGCTTTTCTCACTTTAAAGTAGTCAACTGTGTGGGACTTCCTATGGGTTAAAGGGATAATCCACCCCAAACCACTAATTCCTATGATTAACAGTGTTAAATAACACTAATATGTGAAAACATTTTTTTTGGTGAACAAATGTTTCATTGTGTCGTTATAACAAGGTTGGTAGAAATATGTGAAAATCGTTTTTGGAAATCTGTTGCAGCTCAAGTCTACTACAAAACCCACAATGCAAAGCTCTCTCTTTCTCTCTCTGAGCTGGCTAGCTTGCTAGGTAGCTAGCTAGCTAGAAAACATAGCTACACACAATAATACCAAAGTCATTATCAGCATGTGAAGTTGCTAGCTACCTGTAAAATCAGCTAAACAAACTGCAATATCAATTTAAGAGTCTATCTCACCGAGTTCAACTTGCAGTTCGTCTCTGCCCAGAGCGAGAGCAGAGTATGTTTCCTTCCCACATAGATACTTTTGAGGAGATGGGGAAACTCCATTAGAATCGTATTAACACCCATTGTGTACATTGCCCATGCGTCGTCAATGGGCCGCGCGGTCCATTCTGGGACAAGGAGAGCTCTCCTTCAAGGAGTGAATGGGAATCAATTGGGTGCTAGCTCAAAAACCGAACATTAGCATGAATTTCGTGTACAAGTTTTTCCAAGATGTGAGATAATTAACTTGTTCTCTGTAATATCGTATAGCTTTGGAATCGTGACATAACGTACCTTCGAGGAAAATAGGCAGGTTTCTCGACTCATAGCCTGACTTTGAGAAGGGATTGCGTAACGATTAGTTTAGCAGCCGCGTGACGCAGCATGACAACATGAATGTGATGGGTTGACAGTCAGTTGGGTGGTAACTTTCTCCATTCATTGCCCAACAGGATTCCTATCACCTCCTTTCTGTAAATCTCTGTTTCCCACAGACAGCATACAGTGCTTGAAGGAGAAACGGAGTTAAATAATTTGGTACACTGTTTAGATTGAGCACATCTATGTGAAATATATGCATTGTCATGACTATATAAACGGATGGATGTGTTCTAGACTAGTATGCCCATACCATCTATTGGCTAATTTGGTGATATGGAGTGCAGGTAATTGTTAAAAGCGTTATGAAATGTGATAGTGTGTTATCCCCTATCTCCAGTGACGAGAATTATGTAACTATGACGTGTTCCTACACGATTTCCAGATTTTTACAGATGGACAATTTAGAAGTTAAATAATGTGGAATTGTTTTATTTTACCCACTGATAGAACATAGGCTTTCACCAAATTGATATGACTTTCATGATTTCTATTTCTGGGGGTGGATAATTCCTTTAAGGAGGGATCGTAGAATTCCATTCAGGTCAGCAGGAGAGAGGAGCCAATGAATGAGGTGTTCCGTCTTTCCATCTCTATGATCTCTTACAAATCCTGCACACAGATTAAGCTTAATCCTGGAATAAAAAGCATTTTCAATTCAAATTCTCCATAGATTTTGCTTTTTAGTCCAGGACTATGCTTAATCTGTGTCCAGGAAACCGCCCATAAATGCTTAACACTTACAATATGAAAAATAATCTGGAAGTCTGTTAAAAACAGACTCTTTTGTTAGATCCATATGATGATATGGGCATTACTGATAACCTGTATTTTTTATTTCTGTGCATTCAGGTGTATTTGGGATTATATGGTACATCTTCTGGCTCCTCCTTGCCTATGGGAGCCCAGCCGCCCACCCCACTATAAGTGACGAGGAGAGGATCTACATAGAGACCACTATTGGCGAGGGTGTCAAAATATTGAGCGCCACTGAGGTATGCCTCTGCTCACTCTGGCTGCGGTCAGATGCATTAGTGTAGAGTATCATACACTGAAAGATATAAACGCAACATGTAAAGTGTTGGTCCCATGTTTCATAAGCTGAAATAAAAGATCCCAGAAATGTTCCATACGCACAAAAAGCTTATTTATCTCAAATCTTTGCACATATTTGTTTACATCCCTGTTAGTGAGCATTTCTCATTTGCCAAGATAATCCAGCCACCTGACAGGTGTGGCCTATCAAGAAGCTGATTAAACAGCATGATCATTACACAGGTGCACCTTGTGCTGGGGACAATAAAAGGCCACTCTACAATGTGCAGTTTTGTCACACAACACAACGCCACAGATGTCTCAAGTTTTGAGGGAGCGTGCAATTGGCATTTGGCATCAGAGCTGTTGCCAGATAATTGAATGTAAATTTTTTTACCCTAAGATGCCTCCAACATCGTTTTAGAGAATTTGGCAGTACATCCAACCGGCCTCACAACCGCAGATCAAGTGTATGGCTCCCGAGTGGCGCAGCGGGCTAAGGCACTGCATCTCAGTGCTTGAGGCGTCACTACAGACCCCCTGGTTCGATTCCAGGCTGTATCACAACCGGCTGGGATTGGGAGTCCCATAGGGCGGCGCACAATTGGCCCAGCGTCGTCCGGGTTTGGCCGGTGTAGCCGTCATTGTAAATAAGAATTTGTTCTTAACTGACTTGCCTAGTTAAATAAAGGTAAAATAAAAAAATAAAAATGAATGTGGACGAGCGGTCTGTCAATGTTGTGAACAGAGTGCCCCATGGTAACGGTGGGGTTATGGTATGGGCAGGCATAAGCTATGGACAACGAACACAATTGCATTTTAGCGATGGCAATTTGAATGCACAGAGATACAGTGACGAGAACATGAGGCCCATTGTCGTGCCATTCACCTCATGTTTCAGCATGATAATGCAATGCCCCATTTTGCAAGGATCTGTACACAATTCCTGGAAGCTGAAAATGTCCCAGTTCTTCCATGGCCTGCATACTCACCGGACATTTCACCCATTGAGCATGTTTGGGATGCTCTGGATTGAGGTGTACAACAGCGTGTTCCAGTTTCCGCCAATATCCAGAAACTTCGCACAGCCATTGAAGAGGAGTGGGACAACATTCCACAGGCCACAATCAACAGCCTGATAAATTCTATGAGAAGGAGATGTGTCGCGCTGCATGAGGCAAATGGTGGTCACACAAGGTACTGACTGGTTTTCTGACCCACGCCCATACCTTTTTTTTAGGTATCTGTGACAAACAGATAATGTACAGTACCAGTCAAAAGTATAGACACACCTACTCATTCAAGGGTTTGTCTTTATTTTATACTATTTTCTACATTGTAGAATAATAGTGAAGACATCAAAACTATGAAATAACACATATGGAATCATGTAGTTACCAAAAAAGTGTTAAACAAATGAAAATATATTTCATATTTGAGATTCTTCAAATAGCCACCCTTTGCCTTGATGACAGCTTTGCACACTCTTGGCATTCTCTCAACCAGCTTCACCTGGAATACTTTTCCAACAGTCTTGAAGGAGTTCCCACATATGCTGAGCACTTGTTGGCTGCTTTTCCTTCACTCTGCCGTCCGACTCATCCCAAACCATCTCAATTGGGTTGAGGTCTGGGAATTGTGGAGGCAAGGTCATCTGATGCAGCACTCCATCACTCTCCTTCTTGGTAAAATAGCCCTTACACAGCCTGGAGGTGTGTTGGGTCATTGTCCTGTTGAAAAACAAATGATGGTCCCACTAAGCCCAAACCAGATGTGATGGCGTATCGCTGCAGAATGCTGTGGTAGCCATACTGGTTAAGTGTGCCTTGAATTCTAAATAAATCACAGACAGTGTCACCAGGAAAGCACCTCCACACCATAACACCTCCTCCTCCATGCTTTACGGTGGGAACTACACATGCGGAGATGATCCGTTCACCCACACCGTGTCTCACAAAGACACGGCGGTTGGAACCAAAAATCTCAAATTTGGACTCCAGACCAAAGGACAGATTTCAACCGGTCTAATGTCCATTGCTTGGGTTTTTTGGCCCAAGCAGGTCTCTTCTTCTTATTGGTGTCCTTTAGTAGTGGTTTCTTTGCAGCAATTCGACCATGAAGGCCTGATTCACATAGTCCCCTCTGAACAGTTGATGTTGAGATGTGTCTGTGACTTGAACTCTGTGAAGCATTTATTTGGGCTGCAATTTCTGAGGCTGGTAACTCTAATGAACTTATCCTCTGCAGCAGAGGTAAATCTGGGTCTTCCATTCCTGTGGTGGTCCTCATGAGAGCCCGTTTCATCATAGCGCTTGATGGTTTTTGCGACTGCACTTGAAGAGTTCTTGAAATGTTCCGTATTGACTGACCTTCATGTCTTAAAGTAATGATGTACTGTCATTTCTCTTTGCTTATTTGAGCTGTTCATGCCATTATATGGACTTGGTCTTTTACCAAACAGGGCTATCTTCTGTATACCACCCCTACATTGTCACAACACAACTGACTGGCTCAAACGCATTAAGAAATTCCACAAATTTACTTTTAAGAAGGCACACCTGTTAATTGAAATGCGTTCCAGGTGACTATCTCATGAAGCTGGTTGAGAGAATGCCAAGAGTGTGTAAAGCTGTCATCAAGGCAAAGGGTGGCTATTTGAAGAATCTCAAATATAAAATATATTTTGATTTGTTTAACACTTTTTTGGTTACTACATGTGTTATTTCATAGTTTTGATGTCATCACTATTATTCTACAATGGAAAAAATAGTAAAAATAAAGAAAAACCCTTGAATGAGTAGGTGTGTCCAAACTTTGACTGGTAGTGTACATATCTGTATTCCCAGTCATGTGAAATCCATAGATTAGGGCCTAATGAATTTATTTAAATTGACTGATTTCCTTATATGAACTGTAACTCAGTAACATCTTTGAAATTGTTGCATGTTGCGTTTATATTTTTGTTCAGTATAGATACAAGATTTATGTTATTTCAAATATCCTGTTCTTGTAAGTACTGTACTTATAGAAGTTTTATGACACCCATTTAAGATGTTATCAAGCTTGACAAATGAAAACATAACTGGAGACATAAGCCAGTTTAACAACAGTAGGCTACCTATTTGAGTGCAGTTGACCCTTGAAATTGATGACAAGCTTGACAATTGAAAACATAACCTAGGTTGACCCATGAAATTGAGCCATGAGATCAGGTCCCCCTTTCTGGCCCACCACAGAAATTCAAGACTCCATGGCGCCGTTTCTTCACCTCCATGCCTGTCTATGCCATCATCGTGGCTAACTTCTGCCGTAGCTGGACCTTCTATCTGCTCCTCATCAGCCAGCCAGCCTACTTTGAGGAGGTGTTCGGCTTCTCCATCGGCAAGGTTGGTCTCACAGTCACCCTGTGTGGTGTAGCTCTAAGAAGTCTCTATGCAATTTGTTATCCACGAAAAATGGGACAACAATCAGGGGCGGATTGGACATATGGCAATTCTGGCAAATGCCAGATGGGCTGGATCATGGGCTGGTCGAAATTGACACACATACAAAAAAATGTTTTATATAAAAATAAAACAATGAAAAGGGTGACATGACCAGCGGTCCATGGGCCAGTTAAGATTATTTTTTTTGCGCAATTTCTCTGTTAAACTAATCTATAATGAGCCTTTGGCTTATCAGTGGGCAACGGATGGTTTTCTGATAGGCTGAGCTGAGGTCATGCAAACTCACATTCAAAGTCAAACGCGGCATCAGCAAAGAGACCTGCTCCGACTCTGTCATCAGTTAGACAGCCAAGATCATGGATCGTAAATAACAGAAAAGGTGCCTTTAAACGTTGAAAGAGCGCAGCAAATGGGACAACATATTGTACACAATACTGAGCAGTACAAGTGGAATAAATTATCATAAGACTCAAATGGATCATAGATTATGTCTTACATGAAAGAAAGTACAGTATGTTAGAGAAATGTTTGGCATGATACTGAAAATAATATGAATAAGGAGTGCACATTTTGGTTTTAGCGTTAGCGCTACACAGCCGATTTAAAATAATCAACTCATCCTCTAACCTGATGCTCTTACCATCATTTATGGGTGTTGTCTTGTTCCTCCTCACAGGTGGGGCTCCTGTCTGCTGTGCCTCACATGGTGATGACCATCGTAGTGCCCATTGGTGGCCAGCTGGCCGACTTCCTACGCAGTCGTAAAATCATGTCAACTACAAACGTCCGGAAAATCATGAACTGCGGAGGTATAGTACCCAGGACAGAACGACTTCATTTCCCTTACATTGTACCTATTATGATTTTCTCTTAGGTAGGGAATAAAACTAGCACTGATACCATGAGACTCCATAATTTATTATAACAATTATGGCATTTCCTTCTACTAATGTTGACATTTTAAAAACATTTGTGGAATATTATCACGCTGACTTTAGCTGAAAACAAAATTGAGACTTCCTTGGAACGTTACCTAAAGTTGTAGGAATGTTTTCTGTTTGCCAGCTATGGTACTGTATCAGGTCTGATAAAGCTAGTAAAGCATTGCATCCCAATCAGGATTTGGTAAGGTGGCCTTTGACCTTTGTGTGCCCTGTGACCCATGCAGGTTTTGGAATGGAGGCAACACTGCTGCTGGTGGTGGGGTTCAGTCACACACGTGGCGTTGCCATCTCCTTCCTGGTGCTAGCTGTCGGCTTCAGTGGCTTTGCCATCTCAGGTATAAAGCTTCAGTTCAGCACCATTTTAGATGTATTTATAATGTATAAAAGCCATATTCAGTCAAATCAAGTTACAAACATCATTATTTGTGTGTTTCTGAGCTCATGAATAAATGTTGAGTGTGGGGTTTTATCCTTCTCTTACTGCTGTGTGTTTGATGAGCCTCAGTTCGATGAGTTGTATGAAGTTTTCTATCTGTTGTAGTTTACCTTCTTTACCTTCTGCTGTGAGCAATTTCTCTATTGCATACTAGTTTGGCAAAAAGCAGCTGAAAGCACATTGTAGTAATTAATTTATATACCCTACCCCTTAGGGTCCGATTCAGTATGAGATGCAGTATGCATTCAATACTCTGTCTGCTGTACCTTCACTGAGGCACTTTCCCTGAATATTTCATAGACTGTCAGCAGGGCAAGTAAGAGTAAGACAGATATTTAGGGTTTTCCTCCTGACTTTGTGCATTACATTACTATTTGGCTAAATGGTTATTTATTAATTCAAATTGACATTTTAAAAACAACATTTCTAAGAGACAGCATCAATAGTGTGTGCTAATAATAAATAATACACGTGATTTAGACAGCACTTTTCAATTACCCAAATATGCTTCTACAGTGGGGTAAACAATTTATACTGATGTACTGTACTTGTTACGGCATCCCCAGGGTTCAATGTAAACCACTTGGACATTGCCCCTCGCTATGCCAGTATCCTAATGGGCATCTCCAATGGCGTTGGCACACTGTCTGGAATGGTGTGCCCCCTTATCGTTGGAGCACTGACTAAACATAAGGTATTGTAACATTCAACATTACAGATAAATTCTAACAGCTGTCAATGAGATGAGCAAAATTTGCCAGGTTAAGACTTCGGCATCCATATTAGGAAGTCCCTCAGTTGTCAGACAAAACTCCCCCTAAGGGACTTCCTAATATGGATACCGTATGATATACACAAGTAACATGACTGGTGAACTAGACTATGACATACTTATTTTACAGCATTGTCACTCATATAAAATGAGTTACAGTATGTGTGCGAGTTTGGTCACTGACCCATGTCTGTCCCCCTCCCTGTAGACCCGTCTGGAGTGGCAGAACGTGTTTGTGATAGCCGCCATGGTGCACTACACAGGGGTCATATTCTATGCTATCTTCGCCTCAGGCGACAAGCAGGACTGGGCAGAACAGGAGAGCACCTGCGATGATAAGGTCGGTATCATCGATGAGGATGAGCTGGCCGAAGAGACAGAGCTCAACAGCGAGATTGCCATGGCACCCAAGAAAAGCTATGGAACCACAGAGAAACCATCGGGTCGCAAACAGGGCTGGAAGAAGAACAGAGGAGTCACCATGCAGGAGGATGAGGACGATGGGAACTTGCACCATGGGAATGGGAACTACCAGGAGCAGTATCAGTGATGCGCCCTAATGATCAGGGGCATTGGCTGTACTGATTCTCAAAAATGTTCCTGGAGCGTGCACTTCCACACTTTCTCGCATAGATTTAACAATGGTTGAAACCAGAGGAGGCTAGTGGGAGGAGCTGTAGGAGGATGGGCTCAGTGTAATGGCTGGAATGTAATGAATGGAACGAAGTCAAACGTGGTTTCCATATGTTTATGTGTTTGATACCTTTCCATTTATTCCATTCCAACCCTTACAATGAACCCGTCCTCCTATAGCTCCTCCCACAAGTCTCCTCTGGTGGAAACTCCCTCCAGTCAATGCTTACACCAATCCTGTGCTTTTATATCCATGACGTGGAGTGTGCAAATGCCCACTTCTGGAAAAGGGTAGAGAACCGGGACACAACAGTATCTCTATTGACCCCCTATTCACTGTGCACTACTACTACAGGGAATAGGGTGTCACAGTCACTTGAGAAGCAATGCAGGACTTCCCCTTCACGTCAACATCCAGTGAAGGAAGAAGAGTCAAATTCACACAGACCGGCAGAACCATCAGTGGTCATTCTTCTGAAAAGTTACAAAAGAAGTTACAGCAGCCATCTATCATTTACCACAAACTGACCTTTTGTTGTTGTTTGGTCATTTGTGACCGACCACCTCTATTTGGTCTTATGTTGCAAAATTTGAAATAGTGTTTTTTACATTGGATAAAAGTAGAGAGTCAGAGCTAGAAAATGGCATATCATACACTGCAGTTGAGGAACAATGGGAAAGTAATTCTGTTTTGAAAGTTGATCAACTTCTAACCCCACTTTTGAGAAAATGCCCTGAATGTTTTGGTACACCTACTGGAGAGCTTTTCTTTGTCTACACTGATTCAGCATAGTTCACACCCTCTTAAGCCTTAGGCCCACCCATCTCTTTAAGGATTCACATGTTAGCCCATGTGCTAAACAGAGCGAATAAGGTAGTGTAGTAAAGTAGTAGCCTACAATAAGGAAAAACACCAGGTAAAAATACACTTTATCTAGTCCTTGGCCTATATCCTAATCTGACTTTGGTGCAGGTCATGTTGTTCTTCACATTACTGTCTCTAGTAAACACACACTATATCAAATAAAATCGAAGTTTATTTGTCACATTCACAGGATACAGAATATGTAAACGGTTCAGTGAAATGGTTACTTGTCGCAATTTCAAAAATAGAAAGTGTCCAGTCACATTTGTCTAGACATGTACATATGTTCATGAAATCCAATAGTGGCCGTAATCACCCCCAGACACACCTGGCTAACTTGATGGGTCATGTAATCATCTGGCAAAGTGGAGTATTTTGTTTAGACATGTGAACCATAATCCCAACCCATAGTACTAGCAATACAAACTGATTGTCATAGCTAGCTACCATGCATGAAATGCTGTAGTATGAATCTACAGGTAGCTAAAGCTAACCAACTAGGTTAAATATTAGCTAGCTAGCTAACATTAGGCTATAACTAGCAATGCAAATGTTTTTCTGAAATATGAGTAATATTACTACACAGATCATACACGTAACGTAACATTAGCTAGCGAGCCAGCAAGTTAACATTCACTAGCTAGCTGACAGTATGCTTTAACTTGCAAATTTGTAACGTATAATATGTAGCTAGTCTCTTACCTGTATACATCGATGAACGCTTCACGGCAGGCTGGAACCCTTTTAACTAAGTAAAACGTCCTGTGTCATTTCCATTTGGTTTGTACAGCTTGTTTGGCCCGTTGTGTCAAGTTACTCCGGTTTACACTGACCATGTGCAGAAAGTAGTCCATCAAAACTTTTTCCCACTGATCTTTGTCAATAGCACCAGCTAAATTCAGGGCAGCAATGTTGTTGATAGCAGTAGCAAAACTTGTGCAGTTCTCCATGGCTAATGTTATATCTTTCAAAAAAGCTGCGGTAGCAAGGATTATCTATTCATACTGAGCAGCTCATGTTATAGACAAAAGCATGCTGCATGACAGACCAATCTGAACTCATCTCTCGGCATGTCCAGCCCATCCATTATCTTTTTCCGTGGCTAAACCAACTAGGCTTGTAATTTAACAATTGTATTCGTATTTACAGATGGCATCCAAGTTTGTTATTAAGGCACATTAAAGTTCACATGTTCCAGAAGGCATTTCTGCCCAAAAAAACTAATTTAGATAAAAAACGTATAATAATAACGTTAAAATGCCTCTCCTGTGAAGTAGTGACGTGCGACATACGCCTAGCTTCCTGAAACGGGTCACATCTTATCAATTTGACGGTTTTGCCTCATACCAAGAAATCTTTTCATTATTGTGTGGTCCCTGATGATGAGGTCACATTTTCAGTTACCAAGTGTTGAGTCTGAGGCTGAATAATTGTTGTCATATGAGAGAGAAATTAGAGACATTTGTCTGGTAGGAACTCACAATATTTATAATATTTGACGTAAAAAATATATATTCAGATACATAAATGTATGCAACTTGGGTATAATGCTGCCTTCAAATGCTCCTTGGAATCTCATATTTCCCATTTGTGAAGTCGTAAATGCGACATAATTCTGTTCAAGTTTTGAAGTCAGAACAATACGATTTTAGCTAACTAGATGAGCTATCTAACGTTGATAATAATAAAGAAAGCTAGCTTACTAACGTTTTCAACAATAAAGTTAAACTAGCTACATTATCCACATTGTCAAAGTTTAACATTGTGAAAAATGGCTTTGATTTATCATGGGAAAGGCCAGTTATGAAATGTCACCACTCATAAACTTGCGAATCAAAATTATCTCCACTTTCCCACTTGTAATTCAGACTTGGAGGGTTGTTCAAGTGGTTATTTCCAACTCGGGACCATGTACAGTGAGGGAATTAAGTATTTGATACCCTGCTGATTTTGTATGTTTGCCCACTGACAAAGACATGATCAGTCTATAATTTTAATGGTAGGTTTATTTGAACAGTGAGAGACGGAATAACAACCAAAAAATCCAGAAAACTGCATGTCAAAAATGTCTTAAATTGATTTGCATTTTAATGAGGGAAATAAGTATTTGACCCCTCTGCAAAACATTACTTAGTACTTGGTGGCAAAACCCTTGTTGGCAATCACAGAGGTCAGACGTATCTTGTAGTTGGCCACCAGGTTTGCACACATCTCAGGAGGGATTTTGTCCCACTCCTCTTTGCAGATCTTCTCCTAGTCATTAAGGTTTCGAGGCTGACGTTTGGCAACTCGAACCTTTAGCTCCCTCCACAGATTTTCTATGGGATTAAGGTCTGGAGATTGGCTAGGCCACTCCAGGACCTTAATGTGCTTCTTCTTGAGCCACTCCTTTGTTGCCTTGGCCATGTGTTTTGGGTCATTGTCATGCTGGAATACCCATCCACGACCCATTTTCAATGCCCTGGCTGAGGGAAGGAGGTTCTCACCCAAGATTTGACGGTACACGGTCCATCGTCCCTTTGATGCTGTGAAGTTGTCCTGTCCCCTTAGCAGAAAAACACCCCTAAAGCATAATGTTTCCACCTCCATGTTTGACGGTGGGGATGGTGTTCTTGGGGTCATAGGCAGCATTCCTCCTCCTCCAAACACAGCGAGTTGAGTTGATGCCAATGAACTCGATTTTGGTCTCATCTGACCACAACACTTTCACCCAGTTCTCATCTGAATCATTCAGATGTTCATTGGCAAACTTCAGACGGGCCTGTATATGTGTTTTCTTGAGCAGGGGGACCTTGCGGGCGCTGCAGGATTTCAGTCCTTCACGGCGTAGTGTGTTACCAATAGTTTTCTTGGTGACTATGGTCCCAGCTGCCTTGAGATCCTTGACAAGATCCTCCCGTGTAGTTCTAGGCTGATTCCTCACCGTTCTCATGATCATTGCAACTCCACGAGGTGAGATCTCGCATGGAGCCCTAGGCCAAGGGAGATTGACAATTTTTGTGTTTCTTCCATTTGCGAATAATCGCACCAACTGTTGTCACCTTCTCACCAAGCTGCTTGGCGATGGTCTTGTAGCCCATTCCAGCCTAGTGTAGGTCTACAATCTTGTCCCTGACATCCTTGGAGAGCTCTTTGGTCTTGGCCATGGTGGAGAGTTTGGAATCTGATTGATTGATTGCTTCTGTGGACAGGTGTCTTTTATACAGGTAACAAGCTGAGATTAGGAGCACTCCCTTTAAGAGTGTGCTCCTAATCTCAGCTCGTTACCTGTATAAAAGACACCTGGGAGCCAGAAATCTTTCTGATTGAGAGGGGTCAAATACTTATTTCCCTCATTAAAATGCAAATCAATTTATAACATTATTGACATGCGTTTTTCAGGATTTGTTTGTTGTTATTCTGTCTCTCACTGTTCAAATAAACCTACCATTAAAATTATAGACTGATCATTTATTTGTCAGTGGGCAAACGTACAAAATCAGCAGGGGATCAAATTATTTTTTCCCACACTGTATTTCCAAATTTCCGATAGCACTTGAAGGTAGCATCAGACATGACAACTTAATACATTCATATTTTATGCCATTATAAATCTAATCAATATATACTTTTTATTTATCAAGCACTCATTTATATTGGTCTGTACATAAAAACTGATTGATCAACTGCAAGATCAATTAAACATACAAATATATAAGTGGATACCACATCAGAATTTCTACGACACATGGTTTTGATACACTATATGTTTTCAACACACTTTATCTGAATGTAAAGAAATGTAACACTTCTGTCATACCTCTCTCTCTTCCTTACAACTGCTGACCAACCTTCTTTTCACAGTAAGTAAAGATGAAACCTACTGTAATGTGGCTTACCTTTAATTTAATGTAAATAACTTTGTTTGGTGTCAGCTATGCAACTAAGGGTTATGTGCATATCATGAATGTGACTGGTTTGCTTTCCATTAAGTAGACCACAATGTTAAAATGTTCTACCTTTTTTGTTGCTTGTACCGATTTCCTACTGTTCAGTGATAACACTCTACCGCA